CCCATGGCATCTCCAGTTGGGCTGGGAGAGATGTCTTCTTCAGCGTTGCTGCTGCCAGTCCGTGTGGACAATATTGGCTAGGTGAACTCAGGAGAAGGCTCCTGTTTATCGGGAATCATGAGGACTCGAACCACGAGGAGCACAGCTCAGCGGCAGAGCAGCTGCTCAGCATGCAGAAGGAATAATAATAATAATAATAATAATTTATTATTTGTACCCCTCCCATCTGGCTGGGTTTCCCCAGCCACTCTGGGTGGCGTCCATAGAAACCAAAAATACACTAAAATATCACACATTAAAAACTTCCCTGAACAGGGCTGCCTTAAGATGTCTTCTGAATGTCAGGTAGTTGTTCTTCTCTTTGACATCTGGTGGGGGACAGGAGGCGGGCAGGTGTGGAGGACTCCCTGGTCCTGAATGGGGCAACTGTGCCCCTGAAGGACCAGATGCGCAGCCTGGGAGTCATTCTGGACTCACCGCTGTCCATGGAAGCGCAGGTCAGTTCTGTGTCCAGGGCGGCTGTCTTCCAGCTCCATCTGGTACGCAGGATGAGACCCTACCTGCCCGCGGACTGTCTGGCCAGAGTGGTGCATGCTCTGGTTATCTCCCGCTTGGACTACTGCAATGCGTTCTACGTGGGGCTACCTTTGAAGGTGACCTGGAAACTACAACTAATCCAGAATGCGGCAGCCAGACTGGGGACTGGGAGCAGCCGCCAGGACCACATAACACTGGTCGTGAATGACCTCCATTGGCTCCCAGTACGTTTCCGAGCACAATTCAAAGTGCTGGTGCTGAACTTGAAAGCCATAAATGGCCTCAAAGGCCCAGTAGACCTAAAGGAGCATCTCCACCCCCATCGTTCAGCCCGGACACTGAGGTCCAGCGCCAAGGGCCTTCTGGCGGTTCCCAGTTTGCGAGAAGTGAAGTTACAGGGAACCAGGCAGAGGGCCTTCTCGGTAGTGGCACCCGCCCTGTGGAACGCCCTCCCTTCAGATGTGAAGGAAATAAACAGCTATCTTCTCTTTAAAAGACATCTGAAGGCAGCCCTGTTCAGGGAAGTTTTTAGTATTTAATGCTGTACTGTTTTTAACACTTGATTGGGAAACGCCCAGAGTGGCTGGGGAAACTCAGCCAGATGGGCGGGGTATAAATAATAAATTATTATTATTATTATTATTATTATTATTATTATTAGACTGGATGACTTTTGTGGATCCCGTGACTTGCAAGGGAGAAAGGGAGGGAGGTGAAGAAGAAGAAGAAGAAGAAGAAGAAGAAGAAGAAGAAGAAGAAGAAGAAGAAGAAAGGGAAAAAAAGACAGGAGAGAAAGCAGAGGATGGATGAGGAGGAGAGGCAATTAAGGCGAGATGGATGTAGAGCTTAGAGAGGGGAAATGGCTCTGGATGGAGAGGGAGGAAGGGGGCTGCCCCATAGCGCTGCCAATCAGGCTCCCCAGCCTCCCGCCCTCTTCCAAGCCCTTCTCCTCGCCTGCTCCCTCCAAAATCCTCCGCAGTGTCCCCCTCTGGGTTCCCCTGCGACGAACCCACTGTTCTGCACCGTTTGCAAAAAATATATAGGTCACGTCGCTTTTGTGCAGCTGCAACGGGGGGGGGGCGAGGCTGCAGGACCCATTGGCTTTGGCCTGCGCAACCCCACTCCCTGCCCCCCAAAATCTCCCTAGAGATATCTTCTTCTTCTTCTCACCCTCCTTCCGCCTCGGCCGGGATGCCCTGCAGAGGTTTTGGGGTCACAGCTCTTCGCTGGAGGTTTCAAAGCAGCGGATCCTTTTAAGCTGCAGTTTCCGTGCCGCGCTAGTTGATCCCTGGGGGATCCCTTCCTAGGCCACGGTTCTGGGATTCCGAACTGGAAAGCCTAATGGGAGAGGAGAGGGGCCTGCGGGCGGCCGGGAGCTGTAGCCCCACATCTGCGGAGGGCACTGGGTTGGGGAAGGTCGCAAGCCCCACGGCGCCCCCTGTTGGGGTGACTGGGCTTGCTCCCTGCCCTCCATTTCCCCCCTGCAGGTTTCCAGAGGGCAGTTCTGGTATGCTTGCCTCGGAATACCCTACCCTCTGGAACTCCCTGCCACTTGATGTACATTTTCCGAAAGATTTTTGCTCAGGCGAGCGGACACAGATGTGCAGAACGTCGGTGTGTATGTTTCAATTCGCTTTTCGTTTCTTGCTGATTTTAGCCTTTTTTGAATGTTCCAAAGAGTTCCAAACAGGAAGCTTAGTGTTTTGCAAACCGCTTTGAGGTTGTTGTTCCTTTTATATAAGGAAAGGAAAAATTGGCCGGTGTGAAAATTTTATGAAATGTGCTGAATTAAATAAACCTGGGGATTCTCAGAGCTTTGGAAATCCGAATAGGGGAGCTTCAGCAGTGGCCCTGTACGGAATCTATGGGGCAGAAAACGTGGGGCAGAAAGAAGGGTTCGCAATCCAGATTCAAGTGAGGCGTGCCCAGGTCCCTAGTGGGCAGTTTCGGCGTCAAAGGAGCGCTGCGCATTTGGGGTGGGGTTGAGGAGTGAGGAAACGGGGCCTGGGAAGGAGCACTGACCTCTCACGTTCCTGCATTTCCTGGGGTTGGACTAGATGGCCTTTGGGGGGTCCCTTCCGGCTGCGATTCTGCGTGCTGCCTCCAAAGTTTGCTCTCAAAGCCGGTTTGGGCAAAGGAAGTTCTATTACTCTCCGTGCCGGGAAGAATCCAATTAAAATGAGCCACGGGGCGTCTTTGAACAGCAGGCTCGGCTGGAGGACGAGCTGCAGGCTACGTCGCATAAGGGAGGATTTGAACCCGGCACCTTATGGGGAAGGGCCGTCATAGCTCAGTGGTAGGGCATATGCTTGGAGTGCAGAAAGTCCGATCTCTAGGCAGGGCCTGAAATCCTGGAGGGCTGTTGCTGCCAGTCAGTGTGTGTCTTCCTGATGGACCCCAGTGGTCTAACTCGCTTCCTAACGGGGATCGAACCCAGACATTCTGCATTCCTAGCATGTGTCCTCGTCCCCTGCTTTGGGGCAAGGGCTCCTCTAGATGAGGCACAGCCTCACCCCACCCCAGAAGGCACCGGGGTGGATGAGGCACGGGGCACATCCAGGCCATAGCTGTCAACTTACAGATTTGAAAATAAGGGACCAGCAGCCTCGAAAATAAGGGATCAGCAGCCAAAATAAGGGATTTTCCAAGCACAGGTGTGTTCGACTTCTGAGCCCCTCCGAGCCAAAGGCAGAAAGCCCAGCCAGCAGCCAAACGAAGCCTCAAGCGGTGGTTCCCACAGCGCAGCAACCCGGCAAAGGGGATGCAGCAAGGAAAACCACCGTCGCCTCTCTGCTGGGAAGCGCTGAGCGAAAGCGAGTCCCCAGGCAAGGCGGCCAATTTGATTGGCACAAGGCATGCAAGCTCCACCCCCCAGTCGTTCTCAGACTCCTTATTGGGTGAGCAACGCAGCCAAGCAACACAGTTGGAGCCTCCCTCCTCCCTGGCCGGCAGGGAGGGAGGGAGAGGAGCTGCTTCCTTTGAAACCCGGGAAATTTAAGGGGCATCATCAATAAGGGACAGCAGCGGGACACGGCGCTGGGATAAGGGACTGTCCCGCCAAATAAGGGACGGTTGACAGCTATGATCCAGGCAGCAACCCAACAGGAAGCATCCTGGCTGTGGCTCCTGTATTGCAGGGGGTTGGATTGGATGACCACATGGGGGCCCTTAGAACACGACGGTTCTGTGATAGGCCAGGTTAGTCTGCCTGGCCCAGCAGCACCTCGACTTGGGCCGATGATGGCGCTCCAGGGCTTCCTGCGGAAAGGGGAGCGGTTCTCTTCTAAGATGTGCTTCCAGATCCTTTTAACTGGAGCGAACAGGGACCAGATCTGGGATCCAGCTAAGTTACACCGGACACAAGGGAGGCGACAGCGTCTGCTACCTTTGGCCGCTGCCGCACATTGGTAGAGCACATGGCGCAAGGCAGAGCATCCTGGGAAGGGGTAGCCATTTTCTAACCGGCCTTATGCCATTTGGAGCCCTCAAGTTGTTTAGGACTACAGTTCCCATCAGTCCCTGCCAATTCCTTCTGTTTTGGACTCCAACTCCCATCAGCCCCTGCCAATTCCTTCTGTTTTGGACTCCAACTCCCATCAGCCCCTGCCAGCTCCGGCTCTTTGGGACTACAACTCCCAGCACGATAGGATTTGTAGTCCAAGGCAGTCTGCCAGCCCCAGTTTACAGAAGGCTCTTTCCAAGGGTGAAGCCCCGGGGTCTTGCCCCCACCCCACCCCACCGCAGCCCCCCAAGAGCTCAAGAAGCACACCCAGCAGCTAAATCATTTTTTTTATATATTTACAATATCATTTTCCATTTCTTGCAAGGTTTAAAAATGTGTACAGCATCTCAGCTCGGACCCCTGCCTCCCCCCAAATTGCACCCCAAGTCCCTCTTCTCTCGGAGGCTGGAAGGGGGGGCACACGACCCACCCCAGAGGCATTGCGACCCACCAGCTGTGTCTCGATCGTAACAAACCAACGAAATTAAAAAAAGAAAGAAAAGAGGAAGAAGAAGAAGAGCACCACCTTGGGATTTGTGTTTTTGATTTCAATCACGCCCTCTTCCATGAGAAATGGTCCTTCTTTTCTGGGGTGGGCGGCAAGAGTCCGCAAGTTCGGGGAGGGGGCCCAGATTTCGGCTGTGGGTGGGTGTGGCCCCCGAGTGCAGGAAAGAATTCGCTTTTTTTCTGCTAAACCCCCAAATCAACCCCTTCCTGGCCCAAAACCTAAAGTCTCATAAAAATAGATTTCTCTCCAGTTTGCAAGTGGGGGAACAATGGCGGCGGGAGGGGAGGCCGACCCTCCTCCTTGCGCCGCCTGAGGCGAGGTTCTTGGCAGCCATTTTGGGTCGCGGCGAATGGCGGTGGGAAGGGAGGCGGCCATCTTGAACGGGCCACAAGGACGGGGCGGCGGCCATCTTGAAATGTCGGAAGGGGGCGGCGAGGACGATGGCCGTCGTCGTCATAGCAAGAATAAATCCTCTGAGTCGGGGTTGCGCCGGCCTGCGAAGCCGGCGGACGGAGGCCGCGCTTGATTTTTTTTTAGAAAACGAGGTGGCGGAGGCGTCGTTTCCCGGGCAGCCATCTTGAACGGCGGGAAGGAGCCGCCCCCGAGGAGGCCACGTCGGTTGGCTTTCGGAAACAAAGAGGGCCGCCTTGGATTTGGCAAACGGGAAGGAGGACGGCGTCGGAAACAAACGGAGGGGAGGCCCCGCGCGGCAACCTTTCGGCTTCGGAGCTGCCGCCGCAGTTGTCGTCCCTCAGGCGGCCATGTTGGGTCGGCGGAGAACGTCTGGGCTGCCATCTTGGACCTCCAAACAAAATGGCCTGTGCTTTTCTCCGCCGGCGGACGGATCCGGGATATTGCAGTTGGCGCTTTTGGGGTGAAAAGGACAAAGGGGCAAGGTTTTTTTGGGGGGGGGGTCGGCATTTGGCAACAGTGTAAGGCGCTGACATCTCTCTTTCCAGAGGTGCATTCGCACCCCACGTTGGAACTTCATTCCGTTCCTTGGCACAGACTTTATTTTTTTTGTGTTCACAGGAGTCCCAGGAAACTCGGTATTTGCAAAAAAAAACAAGAGAACAGGCTCCCCTCTTTCCCCCCTCCCAAACAAACAAACCACCCCGAAAAAAATATGCTCCCCAGCCCCATCCAAGTTTGCTGAGTTTGGCACAGATTTCGCTTTTATTCCCCGCCCTCCCGCCCGCCCCCGTCTATTTAATCATTTTAAATTTTTGTTTTTGTTCATTTTTTTTTTTACAAAATAATTGTTTTCCTTTTTTAAAAAAATGGAGATATCTATATATATATTTATTTATATTTATAATAAATTTCTTTTATTCTTTTCTTTTTTTAAAAAAAGGAAACCAACTCGGAACATCGCCAAGTTAAGATGGAGTCTCAGAATGGCTTAAGGACCATAACCGCCCTCCCCGCGACCGGCCTTCATCCGCTCCCCTTCGTCTTTCCTCTTTCGTTGTCGGAATATTCCGGAAACAATAATGGTCTCCCCACACGCCCCCAACCACGAGAATGAACGCCAGAGGCACGAGAACCGAGGAAGGCAGCAGTGGGGGGACGGGAGAGAGAAAAGGAGGGGAAAGGAAAAACGAGAGCCAAACACCCACCCAAGAATGATGTGCTTCTGAAAACAAAAATATCACATTTCCCTTTCATGCATTGCAGGGGGTTGGACTGGATGACCTTTGGGGGTCCCTTCCAAGTCTACAATCCTATTCTTCTACGATCCCCCATCTTACTGGAGCCAGCAAGTACAAGGTCGCTCTAGAAAGAGCGTACTACGGCCGAGCAGGGGGCGAGGAATCTCCCTGGGGATCCCAGGAGATCACTGGAAGTGCGCGTGGGTGCATAGATGGGTCCATATTGCACAGCGGGGATGGGAGACGGAAGTCGGGAACGAAGGATCGCCGGGTCGGGGGGGTGGCGGTGGCACGCCCTTTAGACTTCGCCCCTGCCCACCCCCATCTGAGAAAGAGCCCCCGGCCCTCCCTTCCCCTTCAACCTACACGACCCGGCCCCCAAGCAAAGAGAAAAAGGCACACACAGAAAAGGAGCGCCTTCAGAGGAAACAATAGCTGGCTCATGCAAGCTAGCCAAGCTGCGTATTACGGGGGAGAGAGGCACGCGGGGAAGAAGGCTCAGTTCTGCGGAGGTGGGCATTGATCAGGGGCAAGGTTTGATGGACAGGCGGAGCTTATGCAGGGCAAACGGGGTGGATTTGGGGGGCAGGATCAGGCCAACGACCCATCCTCGCAGTGGCCAACCGGATGCGAGCAGAAAGCGTTCTCCTGGTTTCTGGAAGCATCTCTGCTTCCTGTGGCAGGGAGTTCCATAGTCTAACTCGGCACTGCAAGGGCTTTGAACATTTCGACTCGGTTTTCTGTGCTAGAGCTTCTCTCTTGAAGGGTGCTGTTTCCCGGCCTCACCCTGCTATCCCACCTGCTCCTTGGGTCGGTTGCCAACCCAGACGTAACTACAGAGAAGAAATCCAAAACTTCATTTCGCTCCAGGAGGAGAGAGGTCGGATCCCAGCCGCATCGTGCGTGGAAAACCTAGCCCAAAGAGCTAGGTTGGCCTTCCTGGAAGGAACAAGGGGGAAACAGGTTTGCAAAGGAGGAGGCGCACGTCTAAACCCATTGCAACTGCCTTGTCTCTCGAATGAGGAGCATGCGTCACAAGGGGTTGGGCTGGATGACTTTGGGGTTCCTTTCCAGCTGTCCAGTTGTGTCAACCGGAGTAGCCGCTATCTGGTAGGAAAAGGCTGCAAGTCACGAACAAAAGCACACTCGGCACTTTTGCCAAACTACGTTCTTTGGAGAGGGAGAAGCGTAACTTTTAAACCTGTTTCACACCAATTTAAATTTGCAGCTCTCGACGGACCAGCTCCTTCCAAGCTGGGGCTTAACGTCGTTCATTCCTTCACTGGCAACTGCGGCTCTGTTTTTTTTTTTTTCTTTTTTAACTTGCTGGATGTTTCACAGAAAAAGGGTCGGCTCGAAGGAAACGGGGAGGGCGAACGGGCTGGCGTTCCCGACGCCAAAAACGTCCTGCGGCTTGTGCGAAACAAAACAAAATGGCACTTGCAGAACAGCAACCCGCAGATCCTGAAATGAGGACCCACCTGGAAGCACCCACTTTGCAGAAGTTTTAGGCAGGGTGCTTCCGGGTGACCTGCGTCTTGCTCCTTGGTGCCAATTTATTTACGGAGGAACTGTCTGCAAGGAAATCGGACGGCATTGCGTCAAAGCAGGGACCCATCCTTTAATTTCCCATCGTCCACACATTGTTCACTGGAAACAACTGCTGTCCCAAACTCCCCACCCTGGCTAAAACCAGAGTTTCCCTGTCCTTCAAAAATCCAGAAAGGTCACCTCTTTAAAAGCGCTCCTTGCAAGCTTTCTGTGATTTATTTATTTTTAAACGGGCATTTTTTATCTCGAATATCAAGGTGAGGTTGCTTAAAACAGCAAATTGTGTGAAACAGGGAGAATGGACAGGTTAAAAAATCACACCCGAATGTAGGCTGCTCAGGTACGCACCGCCAGGGGCAAATCGATCGCATAAAATTTGGATTTTGTGGGCTTCACCCACACTTTCGTTTGACCCATATTTTGATCATACTGTGTCCCGACCGATCGGATTCGAGGGCTTTCCCGCTGTTCCACGGATGTGCTTTGTGGGGATCTGATCTTGCCCTCTGAACCGGATCTTATCAGATGTGTGGAAAATCCAAAATAGAGGTTTTGCTTAACCGAGGGTCAGTTCCTCTGCGGGTGCGATTGGATCTTCACGAGGCGCGGCTGCAGAATGGCAAGAGAGCCTCTCAGGACCCGGGAGAATTAACCGGTAGGCGATAAAATCAAAGCATAGGTCAAGAGGAAGTGTGGGTGGCCTCCCTCACTTTCTGGCGCATTTTGCACATGACGGTAAACGCACAAGCGAGACCCCAGCGCAAGAACCCTTTCCCCTTCTGTGGTTTCCAGCAAGTAAAATCCAGAAGCATCACGGTCTCCGTGAAGGCAGAGCACACAAATTTGCCTCATTCTCTTTTAAAGCCGTGAGAAATGGCCACTGTGGCAAGGAGTTCCAGAGTTTAACTCTGTGCCGCACGACGACGGGCTTTCGCCTGCCCTGAATCCTACGACACCCAGTTTCAGCGGATGCCCGTGAGTTTGTTTTTATGAAATTCGTGGGGAGGGGGGGCAGAAATGGGTATGTTGGCACAAGACCTCCCAGCCAATGAGATCCGCGCAAAGTGAATTTTGCACCCATGCATGGCTGAATCCCACCCGAAAAGCAACGAAAGTTCAGAAGTTCGCAAGGAGGGTGTTCAGGAAGAGAGGGGGGGAGCCTCGCCCCACCGCCATAGAAGAGGGGTTGTCGGGGGGGAAATGATCTGGGGGGAGGTCTGGGTTCTCCGAAGCAAAAGGCAAGCGATGCTCCCAAAGAGACTGAAACGCCCCACGCCCCGCGATCGCCACTCCTTCGTTTCCTTGCTCGGATCTTAAAACATTTAAAAAAACAAAGCCTGGAACATGCAGTGTACCTTTGCAGGTTTTCTTAACAGCTCCCCCCTCCTCCCCAAATCTTGTAGTCACATCCTTCAGGGGGGAAAGCGGATTTCCAGTTGTTGCATTCAAAATTTCGCCTTGGGAACAAGCTAGTTGGCGCATGCTGCCTCCCCACCCCCACCCTGCTTTGAATCCCCTCTCTCTGGGTTCCCTTCTAGATGCTCCACATCCCCACACTGTTAAGTCCCCCCCACCCAAAAAAAAAAAAAACCACCTAGTGATTCCGGGCAAAGCTTTAGCTCTTGCACCAAATTGGAGGGAGGTGGGGCAGAAAATTGCCCCCGGCGGACAAGAAAGGGTCAACTAACCCTTCTGCAAATTGTGCAAGGAAGGCACTGGGATTTTGACAAGTACCCACCCCACGGCGAAGAGGCAGGGCTCGCTCCTCGTTCCAGCAGGGCAACCCTTTTTCGGCAGCTGCAAACCAGCCATCGCTGGGACCACTGCCTTGGGGACGAACCCGCCCCTGCTTCTGCACTCTAGACACACACACCTCCAGGTCTCCTTCCCTTCTCTCTCTCCACCTCCGCCACACAGACTCGAAAAAGGAAAAATAAGGGGTGGTGGTGAAAGAAAGGGGGCAGGATCTCTAGCAAACCTCTCTCAGCCCAGAAGGGAATTTGTCTGGGCTGACCGGCTGCCTCCTCCTCAGCAATCCAGCACTGGGAATTTGACGCTGAGCGGACCACAGGGCACCTTCACCACCCAGAAAGATGTTGCGCCAAGGCGAACCGGCTCCTCTCTCTCTTTCTCCCCTCTCTCTGACCTTTGACCCTCCCACCCCTCCTCTCCATCATCTCTCCACTGTCCATCCGTCCATCCAAGCCGAGCCGACAGCTTTGAGTGGCGTCACCGACCCCCCTGGGGGCAGAGGGACTGCCTTCTTTTGTCAATCACAGCCACGGCGGGGACTCTCTTTCCCTACGAGTCAGACTTCCCTTATCTCCGCCCGGAAGGACAAAGGATGCCTTTGCTGCCCGGACCCAGATGGATGAGGAACGGCAGGCCAATCTTCCTCCCGGGAGCGCCCGCCGGCCGCTGTTCCGCCGCCCGTCCGGAAAACAAGGGTGGGAAGGCAACCCGCTTCTTCGCCTCATGCCGGAAAGAACCCCCAGCACCCCAAAAGGAAGCGAGATCGCCGGTGCCGCCCTCCTCTGCTGCCATGCCATGCCACGGGTGTCACCAAAGGGTGTCGGGACCCAAGCAGGGTGGAGAACCGTTGCCAGCCTGTCCGTGCCGTGTGCCGTGGGGACAGACAGGCAGACCTCTGAATCGCCCGACCCCTCCGTCTGCTAGACCCCCCTCCCCCCGCAACGTTGTACAAAAGACCCGTCCACGTGGCAGGAAAGGTGGCCCGCTCTTTGCTCGAGCGGGGCGGGCCGGGGCGGCCGAGGGGCACGGAGGGGAGGGCGACTATACGCGGGTGGTAGAGTGAGGGTGGGGCAAGGTGTTGTTGTGTCCGGTGGGGAAGGTGTTGAAAGGGTGAAGGGCCTGCATGCCCGTGATAGTGCTGGGGATCATGGTGATGGTGTTGGGGGTCATCAGGGGCACATCGTCGGGGGCGCGCCGCAGCGCCAGGGTGTAGTCGGGGGGGCAGGCGGGGCGCAGGATCTCGTGGGGCCGCAGCGGCTCCAAGTCGTGGGCGTCGTGCTCCGAGTGCTTGATCTGCAGCGACATAATCTCCTCCTCCTGGCCGCCATGTACCAGGTCGTTGGCCGCGTTGCGCTGGGGGCTGAGCCGGCGCCCGCTGCGCAGTTCGTGACGCTTGTCCCGCTTGTAGTACAGGGCGGCGAAGGCCAGGATGTTGAGGAAGAGGAGGGAGGCCCCCACAGCCACCGTGACGCTCAGCTCGGTGGAGTAGTCTCGCGAGTCGCCCGGGAAGGGGACATAGCGCTGGGGGCGGACCACGTCGTCCTCGTCCGGCGGCAGGGTGGGGATGGGCCGGCGCGTGGTGCTGGGCCCCACGCGGGTGGTGGGCCAGCGGGTGACGTAAGGCGGGATGCGGGTGGTGGTGGAGGTGTAGGGTGGCTCGTGGAGGTTGTGAAGGTGCGGGACCAGCTCCAGCCAGAAGGCCACCTTGTTGGCGCGGTAGTTGTCTCGCACCCGGGGCTTCAGGCCAATGTGGAGGTACTGCTTGTCCTTCGTGTTGAACTTGGTCCACACCACCTCCTCAAAGCGGTTGGGCTTCGTGTGGATGAACTTGGTGTCCTGCGGCACCGGCTGGTTGGGGTCCCTGCGGAAAAGGGGAGAGGAGACGGAGATCATCATCACCGTCATCATTTGCGTTAATTAAAATGCTTTTCAAAATTATTTCATTTATAAATTTTAACAAACAAACAAGGCAACAACATTTCAACTTTAGCAATTGATCATTCCACCTACAACTTTCACTCCCTCCCTCCTTGGTTCCCTCAAAATTTCAATTTATGTTGCTTATCATCGTTACTTTATACCATGGTTAGGCAAACTAAGACCAGGGGGCTGGATCTGGCCCAATTGCCTTCTAAATCCGGCCCGCAGACGGTCTAGGAATCAGCGTGCTTTTACATGAGTAGAATGTGTCTTTTTATTTAAAATGCACCTCTGGGTTATTTGTGGGGCGAAGGAATTCGTTCATTCCCCCCCCAAAACAAGGTCCGGCCCCCCACAAGGTCTGAGGGACAGTGGACTGGCCCCCTGCTGAAAAAGTTTGCTGACCCCTGCTCTATGCCTTCACTTTATCTCACAATAAAAACAAAGTTCACTGTGATTTTTGCTGATGGCTGCTCTTGCGATTCGCTGCCCCCTGCAGGAGTCAGGGGACAGCTAAGCTGCCAGAGTCAAGAGGGGCTGCAGGAATTGAGAGAAGCATTGGGTGGCTTTGCAGTTTCCCCAACATTGTGATTTTTGCATAACACACATGTCCTGATTCGCAATATATTGCCAGGTTAAAAATTATGAAACCAATGTCACAATATGTGCTTCAGACAACATTTTGCCTAGCTGCTCAGAGATCTGCATTATGTAAGTAAATGCTACTTTTACATCTTCACAAAACAAGGTGTGTGAGAGATGGTTATTTCTAAGTGGGAGAAAAGGAATAATAGCAGGGGGGAATCCAGTCTGCCTTAAAGCATCTTGGATTATTGTTTCTAGAAGTTAAATCAGCTTCCAAGTTTTAAAGCTGCAAAGGGCGGTACTCTGCTGATATCCCCAAGGAAGAAAAAGAGCTAAGCAACCTATCTCCTCCTAGTGCATCAATCCATTCGCACAATCGTCTCACCCCGTCTTGGCGAAGTTGGTCCAGTAGGTCATGACGACAGCGCTGAGCATGACGTCGTTCTTGGAGAAGTTGCAGGGGAAGAGGTCGGTGGCGCCGATCATGGGCACCCCGAAGACGTAGGGGATCTCGTCCCCGTGGGCCGCGTCCGCCCACTCGGGGCGAGTGTCCGTCTGGCAGTGGTGGTAGAAGGTGTAGAAGTAGACGGGCGACTGGTATTCGGCGTGAAGCTTGGCGGTGGCCACGGCGGGCGCCACCCACTGGTGGTCGGTGAAGAGGGCCAGGAGGGTCTTGCGGCGCATCTCGCCGTTGTCCCGGTCCGCCCAGTCCGTGTACATGAACTTGATGGTCTCGCGAAGGATGTCCTTGCCCTCCGGATAGCCGTAGAGGTTGTCCACGAAGTTGGAGATGGTGAAGTCGAAGTAGCTGGCCGAGATGCCGTCCTCGCTCTCCATGGAGTCCTCCACGAATTTGAGGCCCTCGCCCTGGTTGACCCCGATGAGGATGTCGTAGTTGAGGAACTCGCCCTGCTGCATCAGGATCTCTGGGTCGTCCGGGACCACGTCCCCGTCCACCACGGGACCAAAAGCGATGTGGTAGCGGGCCGGCTGGATGTCCTGGTCTACCAGCTCCCGGTAGGCCTTGCGCCTCAGGCACTCCACCGTGTCGCTCGTGTCCATGTGGTCGCAGCCCACTTTGGAGGCCAGCATGCGGGTGTACTTGAGGGGCTGGTAGTTGACCGACCAGCTGGAGATGGCTGTGCCGCTCTGCGCGATGGCTTTCTGGAACAGACCTGGAAGGAAAAGGACAGTCAGCGGTCAAGAGGAGAAGGGAATGGCTGGAGAAGCCATTGGGACGTAGTATTATTCTTATTATTACAGTGGAACCTCGGTTGTCGAACGTAATCCGTTCCGGAAGACTGTTCGACTTCTGAGACGTTTGACAACCGAGGCGCAAAGTGTGCGCTGCAAAGTCAATGGAGAAATGGACAAACATGCCTCTTTCTCTTTTTTGAGGAGCATTTTGTTGAATTAGGAAGCCTCTCATCACTGCCTTACTGGCATCCCACACTACACTTAAATCAGTTTATTGATTGATTGTCCTCCCCTCCCCTGCATATTTTATTTCCCCCCCCCCTTGCTTCTGAGTTTGTTTGTTTTTCTTTTATGGAGTGGAGAGCACACTCAAATATATAAATATAATTTCCTGCTTGGATTTTGGCTGACTGAGCAGGATACGCTTTATGGATTGTGAATTTCTATATATTTTTAAAAAAACTGGTGGATTCCTGCATAATCTAATTGGGATTATTTTGCTTTGTCCTTCCTTCCTGCTGACTGAAGAGGAAGAGAAGGAAGAAGAGGACAAAAAGTAAAGAGGGAAGGGGGTAGAAGGAAAACTGGAATTGTGAGATATAGACACACATGGTGGTACCTTGAAAGTCAAATGTAATCCGTTCCAAAAGGGCGTTAGACTTCTGAAACATTTTATTTCCAAGGCACGGCTTCTGATTGGCTCTTGGAATCGGAAGAGCCAATCGGAAGCCGCTTGTTTGGCTTCTGAAAAACATTCGAAAACTGGAACACTTACTTCCGGGTTTTCGACGTTCAGGAGCAGAAATGTTCAGCATCAGAGACAATAAAAAACCAAGGTTTGGCTGTGTGTGTGTGTGTGTGTGTGTGTGTATTACACACACATACACACACACACACACACACACACATGATATAATTTAAGATCAGGCATGTCCAAAGTCTGTTTCGGGGCCTAATCCGGCCCACCGGTCGGTTTAATCCGGCCCTGTTTACTTATCAGGGTAAAATCTGAAAAAAGCTCAACTATGGTTGGCCCTCTAGTCAGCCCTCGCACATGTTCACTTCATCAAACCTGGCCCTCTTTGAAAAAAGCTTGGACACCCCTGATTTAAGACGGATCTTCGAATCCTTTCATGGAATGGAAATGGAATAAATAACAAAACGAAAAGGAATAAAATAGTGCACATCTTGACAAAGCAGAAATTAGACATCATTCGCTTACAGGAGACACATATAAAAAGACAACACAGAAAATTACTAATAAATAAAGGTCTGGGACAAGAGTTTATCTATTCTGATAAAACTAAAAAGAGAGGAGTGATGATGTATGTTAACCCCAAACGAGATCCTAAATTCACCTTTAAAGATGAAGAAGGCAGAATGATGGCTATTGAAGTGAGACTAGGTGGAGGACCAATTACTGTAGTGGGAATTTAAGCCCCCAATGAATGGAAAACTGATTTTTAAAAATCTGGAAGAAAAATTGTTTGATCTGTGTGATGCTAAAATAATAATGATGGGTGATTTTAACGCTGTTGTTTCCCTTGACTTAGATAGAACTGTACTGAAAATGGATTCAAAAGAAGGGAAACTTCCAAATGCCTTTTTTTAAAAATATGGTGTCCAATTTTGACTTACCGTATTTTTCTGTGTATAACACAAGGGTTTTTTTTATTTTAAAACTATGCTTAAAATTTGGGCTTGTGTTATACATGGGTAGTGCTGAGGGGCGACAGGCGATTGGTTGCAGCCGCGAGCACGACATTCTCAGTGGTGATAGGGCGGGTGATTGGTGGCGTGTGAAGGGCTGTTGGCGATTGGCTGCCGTTGCGTCAACTGGGTGGTTGATTAGCAGCTGCCGGCGGTGATCGGGCAGTCGATTGGTGTCTTCTGCGACGCATGCAATTGTCAGCGTCGGGTGAGCAATCCCCCCCAAAGCTCAACAACTCTTGGCAATCTCCTCCCATTTTCTTAATTTTTAGTCCCCCCAATTTTGAGTCTTATACGTGGGGGCGTGTTATACATGGAAAAATACGGTAATTGGCCTATGGTGACTTAAGCATCCATTAGAACATCAATCTGCTTTTTTATCAAACGCAAACAATTCTTCAAGCAGAATAGACTATTTATAGGCTTTGAAAGAATTAACAACCAGGGTAAAAAGGGTAGAAATTCAACCTAAGACACTATCTGATCACAATGCCATCTTGATGACAATAACAGGTGAGAAATGGTCTTCGTTTAGGTGGAGGTTAAACGATGTGGTGTTGCAAAATGAACCAACTGTGAGTAAGGGGCAACACTCTCTACAATAATTTTTTGACCTGATTTAAGTGTAGTGTGGGATGCTAGTAAGGCAGTGATGAGAGGCTTCCTAATTCAACAAAACATATTTTCAGAAAAGAGAAAGGGGAAAAAGAAACAAGAGATATTAGATGCTCGACTGAATATAGAGAAGCAAGCACAATTTTCGGTGTTAGTTAATCAAGAGATTGAGATTAAAATTAAATGAATGAAACAGAAAATTTTTGAATATGCTAATAAACCTGGTAAATGATTAGCATGGCAACTCAAAAAAGAAAGACAATCAATAATATTGTTGACGAGGATAAGCATTTGACTAGCCCAAAAGAGATAAGGAAAGCGTTTGAAAAAGAAAAAAAATTATTTATTATACCGTTGTGAGAAGGAGAACTTTAAAAAAATGGATTCTTATTTAAGTGACTGTTGCATACCCTGGAGTATCTAAGGAAAACCAGCAAATTCTGAATACACCCATGTCTTTATCGGAACTGCAAATGGCAATAAATCGAATGAAGATGGGAAAAGCACCAGGGCCAGGTGGACTTATTGCAATTTATTATAAAAAGTTTCAGGATCCACTTATAAAACCACTTAAGGACAGCATGAGCAGAATTTTGGTGATGGGGGTAGTCCCAGCCTCATGGAACGATGCATTCATTACTTTGATCCCCAAATAAGACAGCGACTTAACAAAGACCAAAAATTACAGACCTGTTTCATTGCTGAGTGCAAACTATTTGCTACAATCTTGGCTAATAGATTGAAAAGGACATTAACTGAGGCAGTCCACAGAGAACAGGCTGGGTTTTATACCAGGCCGACAAAAGAAAGACAATATAAGAAATTGTCAGGGAACTGCCATCAGTACTGGAGGGGGAGAGCGAAAGCCAGAGGGATTCCAGAGAGCGTCCAGGGATCAGGAGGAGCAGCCCACCTTCTGGGGAAGAGAATCAGCGTAGCACCAGTGGAGAAGGGGGGCAGCTGGGGGAAGTGGCGAGGCGGTCTCATGACTCCTTGCCTGGGACCAGCGGGGAGAGTAGGGGTCCTCCATTGCCCACGCCCTCCCTGCACAGAAGGCTTCCGCGCAGAGAGGGTAGGCGGAGACTAGGCGTCAAAGAACTTCTTTGCTGGAAGAAGTTTAAGAAACGCCCACTGACGGGTTCTGCCAGCGATTGAGTCAGCCACGGGTGAGTGGCTGTCCGGACAGAAAAGGTTCACTTTGGCAACCCAGCCAGGTGTTTGCACCCAGCCGGGGAGATAGGCACCTGCTTACGCACGAGCAACCCCTAGAACCATTACAGAAATGTAATTAATTTAATAGAGTATCCGGAAGTAATAAATGAAAAATAGGCCGCGCTAATCTTTCTAGATGTGGAGAAAGCTTTTGATAATATTTCATGGTCATTTATGATCAAGGTTTTAGAGAAATAGGTAATTCTTTCGTGGCAGGAATTAAAACAATCTCTACTGATCAATCTGCAAATATATTAATAAATAATATTCTTTCAGATAAGTGCCAGATGCGCAATTGTATTATGAGGCAGCTTGTTTGTGTTGGTTAAAAGAATGGATTGTATCGGACAATGCAGACATTTTAGATTTAGAAGGCCACGATTTAAAATTCAGCTGTCATGCATGTCTTTGGCATGGGAAGGCTAAAATCTATGAGAGTTTTTTGAACCACAATCTTAGGAAGTATCTATATAGAGTCTGGGAGAAATAGAAAAAAACTGCTGGAAAGAAAAACACATTTACGGTTCTCTCCCACTGAAGCAATTGCAATTAAGAGAGTTAATATGGACAGACGATGGGTGACTTACAGGGAACTGGGGGCAGTGGCGTAGCGTGGGTTGTCAGCACCTGGGGCAAGGCAAGTAATTTGCGCCCCCTAACCCGTGGATTTTAGCACTCGAGTGCGAGCGCGCCCCCCCAGATGTTGCGCCCGGTGCGGCCGGCCCCCCCTGCACCCCGCACGCTACACCACTGACTGGGGGGCAGGGGACCCAAACTGAAATCAATGGAAAACTTAAGGAGTCAAGTTACGGATTGGTTGCAATATCACCAGATATATGAAATGTTTAAATTAGATGGGAAGAATGGATTTCTGGACCAAAGCTCACAATTTGAAAAGGAATTCTTACAAAATAAGGATAAACTTCTGCCTAAAATGTATTATTTTTTTATTAGAATGGGAAACAAAAGACGAGCTAGTTAAAGTTTCAATGAGACACTGGGCAATAGATATAGGACACAATGTAGATCTTAACCTCTGGGAGAAGCTTTGGAAAAGCAACCTGAAATTTACTGCAACGAAATTAAAAGACGCCTGCTCCTTGGGAGAAAGGCGATGGCAAACCTAGACAGTATCTTAAAAAACAGAGACATCACCTTGCCAACAAAGGTCCGTATAGTTAAAGCCATGGTTTTCCCAGTAGTGATGTATGGGAGTGAGAGCTAGACCATAAAGAAGGCTGATCGCCGAAGAATGGATGCTTTTGAATTCTGGTGCTGGAGGAGACTCTTGAGAGTCCCATGGACTGCAAGAAGATCAAACCTCTCCATTCTGAAGGAAATCAGCCCTGAGTGCTGACTGGAAGGACAGATCCTGAAGCTGAGGCTCCAAGACTTTGGCCACCTCATGAGAGGAGAAGACTCCCTGGAAAAGACCCTGATGTTGGGAAAGATGGAGGGCACAAGGAGAAGGGGACGACGGAGGGCGAGATGGTGGGACAGTGTTCTTGAAGCTACCAGCTTGAGTTTGACCAAACTGCGGGAGGCAGTGGAAGACAGGAGGGCCTGGCGTGCTCTGGTCCAGGGGGTCACGAAGAGGCGGACACGACTCAACGACTAAACAACAACATTTATTGAAAGAGAATGATTTGAAAATGATTCATGGATGGTACCTAACTCCGAGTAGGGTGGCTAAGATTTATAAAACAGAATCAGATAAGTGCTGGAGATGCAAAGATGTGGATGGAACATTCTTTCATATATGGTGGAACTGTAAAAGGGTAAAAGCATATTGGGAAATAATTTATAATGAATTGAAAAAAATGTTTAAAAGAGTCCTTTTTGTTGGGAATAACCCAGACAGAAATTCCTAGGTGTCAGAAAAGCTTATTTATGTATGCAACAACTGCAGTCTGTGCTTCGTTAGCCCCAAAATGGACAGGGAGCAAAATGCAGAACTTGCAGATTTGACACATAGAATAAGAGAGCAAGAAGAACATATATTTAAAGAGGGGTGGGAAACATTTATTGAATATATGGAAAATAACTGTATACAGCTGAAAATGCTGGCAGCACTAAGATAAATTCAAGAGAGTAAATACCGTATTTTCCCGTGTATCAGACTAGGATTTTTTAAACCAAAAAATTAGGGTTAAAATTGGGGCCTGTCTTATACACAGATAGTGCTGAGGGATGTTTTCTTAATTTGGAGTCTCCCAAAATAGGGGGCGTCTTACGCACGGAAAAATACGGTAATTTTTGACGGCTGTAAAAGTGGAAAATTGATTTGAATGGTTATAGTGAAATATGCAGGAATGTATGATATGTAAAATGAACCATGGAAGGAGAAGAAGGGAAGGCAGTTGATATTTTAAAGTTTGTAAAATGTTTATTTTGAAATGTAAAATAAAATAATAATAATAATAATAATAATAATAGTCAGTCCCCAAAGGGCTGTGGGAATGAAACAGTCTTTGCCCGCTGGCAGAAGGGCAACCAGGAGGGAGCCTGTCTGGCTTCTCGAAGGAGGGAGTCCCAAAGTCTGGGAGGAGCCACCACCGATAAGGCCCTGGCTCATGCCCAGCTCAGCCAAAGCTGGCTGAACGGAGACTGGGGCCTAAGTCCCCCCCAAAAGGGCGTGTTCTGTGGGGCGGGACCAGATCACGGGTACTTAGGCCGGATCCTAGGCCTGTTCAGTTTGGCCACACGGGTAAATAACTATTTCAAAGGTTTATTTGAAGGCAGCCCTGTTTAGGGAAGCTTTTAACGTTTGATGCATTACTGCATTTTAATATTGTGTTGGAAGCCGCCCAGAGTGGCTGGGGAAACCCAGCCAGATGGGCAGGGTATAAATTATTATTATTATTATTATTATTATTATTATTTCCCCTCTGCCAGGTTTAGGCAAAACGGCAGCCACTGTGGCCGAATGTGGTTTGGATCGGGTGCAAAACTGTGCTGCCTTAGCTCGCTCTGCTTTGCTTTATGCCAGTTTCTTGTGTGCGGGATCGTTTTCCCAACCCCCCGAAACCCTGAGAACCCGCCCCCATAACGCCGAACGAGCCGAGCGCTACCTTCCGAGTGGTGGGATAAGATGAGGAGGTTGACGCACGAGGCCCCGGCTCCCGAACCGAAGATGGTGATCCGTTCCGGGTCGCCCCCAAAATGCCCGATGTTCTCATTCAGCCACCGCAGTGCCTGGATCTGGTCTAGGATCCCGTAGTTTCCCTTGGCGGACTGGTCGCCGGTGCTCATGAATCCTGCCGAGGGGAAGAGAAGAAAGGAAAAAGCCGTGTCAGGAGGAGGAAGAAGAGGACAGTACATGTGAAAAGGATCTAGGAGTCTTGGTTGACCACAAACTTGACATGAGCCAACAGTGTGACGCGGCAGCTAAAAAAGCCAATGCAATTCTGGGCTGCATCAATAGGAGTATAGCATCTAGATCAAGGGAAGTAATAGTGCCACTGTATTCTGCTCTGGTCAGACCTCACCTGGAGTACTGTGTCCAGTTCTGGGCACCACAGTTCAAGAAGGACACTGACAAACTGGAACCTGTCCAGAGGAGGGCAACCAAAATGGTCAAAGGCCTGGAAACGATGCCTTATGAGGAACGGCTAAGGGAGCTGGGCATGTTTAGCCTGGAGAAGAGGAGGTTAAGGGGTGATATGATAGCCATGTTCAAATATATAAAAGGATGTCACATAGAGGAGGGAGAAAGGTTGTTTTCTGCTGCTCCAGAGAAGCGGACATGGAGCAATGGATCCAAACTACAAGAAAGAAGATTCCACCTAAACATTAGGAAGAACTTCCTGACAGTAAGAGCTGTTCGACAGTGGAATTTGCTGCCAAGGAGTGTGGTGGAGTCTCCTTCTTTGGAGGTCTTTAAGCAGAGGCTTGACAACCATATGTCAGGAGTGCTCTGATGGTGTTTCCTGCTTGGCAGGGGGTTGGACTCGATGGCCCTTGTGGTCTCTTCCAACTCTATGATTCTATGAGGACGAGGGTCTAGGGGGAAAGGCGCAATTTAGTGCAAGCCAATCCACATGCAGCCGACAGACCGTATTTTTCGCTCTATAGGACGCACTTTCCCCCCTCCAACAATTAAGGGGAAATGTGTGTGCGTCTTATGGAGCGAGTGCAGGCTCCTTGGCCTCAGCAATAGCAACGCGAAGCCTCCGGAGCGCAGAGGGAGCGCTCCCTCCACGCTCCGGAGGCTTTGCGTTGCTTTCGCTGAAGCCTGGAGAGCGAGAGGGGTCGGCGCGCACTGACCCCTCTTGCTCTCCAGGCTTCAGGGATAGCCGCCTGAAGCCTTCGGAGCGCAGCGTGGGTTCCCAATGCGCTCCGCAGGCTTGGGGTTCCTTTCGCTGAAGCCGTGAGAGCAAGACTCTCCCGGCTTCAGCAGAGAGGGAGAGCTGCGCAGCACCCCTTCAGCCAAGCGGGAGGAGAAATGGAAGGGGCTCCGTTTCTCCTGCCGCTTCGCTGAAGGGGCGCTGAGCAGAGAGGGGGAGAATATTTTTTCTTGTTCTAAAACAAGGTGCGTCCTGTGGTCCGGTGCGTCCTATAGAGCGGAAAATACGGTAAATTTAGGCTGCGTACGTCTTAAAACACAGCCGGGTCGTTGCTTTTTCTCAATCCGGATCGAGGCTGGTTTGGGAGAAAAGAGGTGTGTGCACAGACACAACACACACATATTTCTTTTGATAATAATAATCATCTCCCCTCCCGCTTTGGATCTTGAAATATGGGTCTCCTCAACAAAATTTTAAATTCGGCTTTGTAATTCGGAATTTATGTGATGTGATTTGATTTGATTGGCCGGTTAATAAAAATTATTTAAAAATAAAATAAAAATAATCATCTTATAATATTTGTATTATTTATATTCCGCCTGGGTTGCCCCGGCCACTCTGGTAACTCTGATTTCCGGGGGAAACCACACACACACACACACACACACACACACACCTTTTGATGCCTCAGATCCCTACTTAAAAAAAAAGAAACAGATTCAAATTCCCTCAACTTTCTAATCATCTGAGTAGGCTTGTCTTTAATAATAATAATAATAATAATAATAATAATAATAATAATTGTTAAGTTGTGGGTGAACATATCAGACGACACAGCGATTCTTCAGACAGCTCTTGTTTATTCACAGGCCAGAACAGAACTGAACTAAAGGGTTCAGCCAGCCTGCTTATATAGAGCTCCACTACAAAGCAACAGTAACAACTTTCTGTAACTATCCAATCACTGAACGTCACTTTCGATTCCTTATTTGCATATGCAGACCTGAGTGAAAACTATCTACAGTATCCCCCTGCTGGCCCAGGGTGAGAACTTCAGTACATAACAACAACAACAACAATAATAATTTATTACTTTTACCCCACCCATCTGGCTGCAATGCCCATCCACTCTGGGCAACTTCCAACAGAACATAACATGTTTTTATTTTATTTTTTCAAAAATTATTTAATGGTTTTCACAAAATTATAAACAAACAAACAAATAAACAAACAAACAAAAATCATAACCTTATAAAAAATACACTTCTTAACATTGTTAAGTGACTTCCTCGCTTCCCCTTGGTTGGATTTCATTGCATATCCTTTTAACGGTTTTCCAAATCAAAGTTCTTATAAACTTAACTTAATCACTTATCATCGTTCTAACTTTTCAATTCAGGATTAAACATATTAATTCAACACTTAACTTATATGAAATCCTAAGCCGATCTAGTACTTGCAAGCTATTTCCAGTTAGTTTAACTTAACGTATTTAACTAAATAGTCATTAAATCTCGTCCATTCTTCCTGATATTCCTCCTCTTTCTGGTCGCGGACTCTTCCGGTCAGGTTGCCTAGCTCCGAAAAATCCATCATCTTCATCTACCATTCTTCTACAGTTGGTAGTTCTTGCGTTTTCCACTTCTTAGCTAGTAAAATTCGAGCAGCAGTTGTGGCATACAAAAATCATTGAACATCTTTCTCGGGCAATTCCAGACCTGTTATTCCAAGAAGAAAGGCCTCTGGTTTCTTTCTAAATGTATAATTCGACATTTTTTTCAATTCATTCTAAATCTTTCCCCAGAAGTCTTTCCCCTTGGTGCAGGTCCACCACATGTGGTGAAAAGTTCCTTCATGTTTTTAGCATGTTTTTAGCGGGCTTGATCTCTTGCTCGCTGCCACACTAAGCGATCGGGTTCTTAAAAATGCGGAAAGCGGGAATCACAAGATCCCATAGCAGCGCCAATTCTTTTTTTATATATAGTCATTTCTTTCTTTCTTTTTTTATTAAAGATTTTCTTGTTTTACAGAAGTATGTGTAATGTCTCTCGTATTTTTTCCGTGTAACATTTTTACAAATCAATTTCATTTGTTGAGACATTTGGGGGGGGGGGAGATGGGGGGGGTCGGGTGCGATGTTTCTATTTTGCTTAATGTATGTAGGGTTTGATGTCAGCGTTGCTCCTGCAGGTTGTCTGCTGTTCATTTGTGTTCCTTTGGTGGTGAGAGAGGTTGGGCTTGGCCTAGGGTGTGGTTGTTTGTTTGTGATTGGCTGCGGTGGTCGTTGTTTTCATGTGTGAGTGAGGTGGGTGGGTGTTTCGGATCAGGTTAGCCATATTGATTTGTATGCTGTTGGTGGATTCTTGTCATTGTCTTGTTGGGCTGTGTGTGTGATAAAGGGGAGCCATACCGGGGTGAAGGCGTCTTCTTCTATTTGTCCCCGTGTCAGTTTCAGTTTATTGGTTAATTTTTCTAGCAGGGCTGTTTCCCATACTATTTGGTACCATTGGTCCATGCTTACTCCTGACTGGTCTCTCCAGTGTCTGGTTATGGTGTTTCTGGCTGCTGAAAGTACAGTGGTGCCTCGCAAGACGAAATTAATTCGTTCCGCAAGTTTTTTCGTCTTGCGGTCTTTTTCGTCTTGCGAAGCACGGTGTCGGAAAAGTTTTGGAAAAGCTTCAAAAATCACCAAAGTCTTCAAAAACCTCAAAAAAGGCTACCACACCGCGTGCTATGAGTTGCTCCTCGAAGTCAAGTCGCAACTGTATTAACGGTTTTAAGAAAAAGGAAACAAACTTGCAAGACGTTTCCGTCTTGTGAAGCAAGCCCATAGGGAAAATCGTCTTGCGAAGCAACTCAAAAAACCAAAAACCCTTTCGTTTTGCGAGTTTTCCGTCTTGCGAGGCATTCGTCTTGCGAGGTACCACTGTAGGTGGGTTATGAGTTCTTTGTGGTGTAAATGGGCATTGTTGTCTTGGAAGATGTTTAGTAGGGCCAATTCTGGGGTGATGTCTGATACTTGCTTAGTTATTTTACATATTTCTCATATGGCTGTTGTCCAGAATAGTTGGATTTTGGGACACTCCCACCACATGTGGAGGTATGTGCCTCTGGAGGTGCACCCTCTCCAGCATTTTGGTGAGGTTCCTGGGCGTATTAGTAGCAGTGCCAATTCTGCCAATCAAAGCAGCTGCGTTTGGCAAAGCGACTTTGCAGGTAAACTGGTCCCAAGTTGTTAAACATCCTCCGGCCCATCCTGGTTCCCCGTCTGGATGTGGAACAGATTCCTTCAGGAGGTAATGGACTCCCCTTCCTTGGACGTTTTAAAGCAGAGGTTGGGTGGCCATCTGTTATGGATGCTTTAACTGAGATTCCTGCATCGCAGCGGGGTTGGACTAGATGACCTCTGGGTCCCTTCCAATTCTATGATTTTATGATTCCATGCTTCAAGTCCAACTGGCTTCCCCCCGCCAAAAAACCCCCCAACATCTGGCAGGCACCAGGTTGCAGCAGAGGAGAGGCTGCTCCTGACCCTAATAATAATAATAATAATAATAATAATAATAATAAATAATTTTATTTATACCCTGCCCTCCCCGGCCAGAGCCGTGCTCAGGGCGGCTAACACCAATAAAATAAAATCACAGTAAAAACATAATAGGGGGAAAAGAGAGGGAGGAAAACAAACCAATTTAAAATACAGGTTAAAATGCAATTTAAAATGCAGCCTCATTTTAAAATAGCTGATAAATCAAAACCATAAGGGGAGGGAAACGTAAGGGTCAGACCGAGTCCAAACCAAAGGCCAGGCGGAACAGCTCCGTCTTGCAGGCCCTGCAGAAATATGTCAAGTCCCGCAGAGCCCTGGTCTCTTGGGGCAGAGCGTTCCACCACATCGGGGCCAGTACGGAAAAGGCCCTGGCCCTAGTTGAGACCAATCTCACCACCTTGAGGCTCAGGACCACCAAAGTGTTGTCATTTGTGGACCTTAAGGTCCTCCATGGGGCATACCAGGAGAGGCGGTCCCGTAGGTACGAGGGTCCTAGGTCTTAACTTTCTCACGTTCCCGATTCAACACACAACACAAAGGGAAGCTCAGCAAAGTGATCGATCGGAAAAGGCCTTTCTTTCTTTCTTTCTTTCTTTCTTTCTTTCTTTCTTTCTTTCTTTCTGCCTCTGCTCAGCGCTCCCGTCCGCACGGCCACGTCTCCTTTAAAATTAATCATCACTCCATCCCGGGGGCGCCCGCTTTTTCTTCTCTTTTTGCTGGAGATAACGAGGCCTCGCCGTTAATTATTAAAAGCTTTTTAATGAAATATTAATTTCGACTGCGCCTGGGTAAATTTCACACCCGCAGGGGAAGCGGAGGCGAGAGGAAGGGGCCGAGACGGGGCTTGAACCGCAGATCGGGCAGGCGAGGCTGAGCCTCAGAAGAGGGGTCCACGCTCCAGGTCAGAACCTCACCCACCCCCCAGCACCCAGAGGCCGGCGGGAGGCCCCCTTCCCACGTTACGCAATGCCCGCGCGTGCATCTTCCCCTTTGCAGAAGGGACATCGCAGCTGAGTCAATAGGGCACCTGGTTCCGGGTTCAAATCCCTCATGGCTTCTCCAGGCACGGCTGAGCTAGATGGAGCCAGAGTCTGTATGCGCTTCCTATCGTCGGCAACCGTCTGTCTCGAGAGACAATGGACCGCACTTCCAGGGTGAAGCCAAACCGCTACGTCAGCAACCCCAAAGTGACCTCCTTGGGGTGCAAGAATGGGCAGTGTGTGTGGAGGTCCTGGGCTTCCCAGACGACAAGACCCACCTCTCAGCCTCTCAGGTGTGGCCCAAATTAAACCAGAGTTAGATGCTTGGCACCAGTTCAACCACCTTAGGGACTCCATTCCAGATTTGTAGGTCCGTATAGTTAAAGCTCTGGTTTTCCCAGTCGTGATGTATGGAAGTGAGAGCTGGACCATCAAGAAGGCTGATTGCCGAAGAATGGATGCTTTTGAATTCTGGTGCTGGAGGAGACTCTGGAGAGTCCCATGGACTGCAAGAAGATCCAACCTCTCCATTCTGAAGGAAATCAGCCCTGAGTGCTCACTGGAAGGACGGATCCTGAAGCTGAGGCTCCAAGACTTTGGCCACCTCATGAGAGGAGAAGACTCCCTGGAAAAGACCCTGATGTTGGGAAAGATGGAGGGCACAAGGAGAAGGGGACGACGGAGGACGAGATGGTGGGACAGTGTTCTTGAAGCGACCAACATGAGTTTGACCCAACTGCGGGAGGCAGTGGAAGACAGGAGGGCCTGGTGTGCTCTGGTCCAGGGGGTCACGAAGAGTCGGACACGACTAAACGACAAAACAACAACAACAAATAGCGTTTCCATCTTCTCCCGAAGATGTCCCGCAGGGTAGCAGAGTTTGAGGATGAGAGTTTTCCTTCTCCGAGATGGGCGAGCCCCGGCTGCCCCTCACTTCCCTCTACAGCAGCCTTTCTCAACCTGTGGGTCCCCAGATGTTGTTGGACTACAACTCCCATCACCCCTGAGCTGTGGCCTTGCTAGCTAGGGGTGATGGGAGTTGTAGTTCAACAACATCTGGGGACCCATGAGTTGAGAAAGGCTGCTCTACAGCAAATGCAGAAACTGCCTTCATCATCATCATCATCATCATTTTATTATCTACAGTGGTACCTCGGGTTAAGAACTTAATTCGTTCCGGAGGTCCGTTCTTAACCTGAAGCTGTTCTTAACCTGAAGCACCACTTTAGCTAATAGGGCCTCCCGCTGCTGCCGCTCCGCTGGAGCAGTTTCTGTTCTCATCCTGAAGCAAAGTTCTTAACCTGAAGCACTATTTCTGGGTTAGTGGAGTCTGTAACCTGAAGTGTATGTAACCTGAAGCGTATGTAACCCGAGGTACCACTGTATATCCTGCCCATCTGGCTGGGCTTCCCCAGCCACCCTGGGCGGCTTCCAACAAAATATTAAAAACACAATAAAAGATCAAACATTAAAAACGTCCCTAAACAGGGCTGCCTTCAGATGTCTTCTAAAAGTCAGATAGTTGTTTATTTCCTTGACATCTGCTGGGAGGGCATTCCACAGGGTGGGCACCACCACCGAAAAGGCCCTCTGCCTGGTTCCCTGTAACTTCATTTCTCGCAGGGAGTGAACTGCCAGATGGCCCTCGGAGCTGGACCTCAGTGTCTGGGCTGGACGATGGGGGCGGAGACGCACCTTCAGGTCCGCTGGGCCTTTGAGGCCGTTTAGGGCTTTCAAGGTCAGCACCGACACTTTGAATCGTGCTCGGAAACGTACTGGGAGCCAATGTGGGTCTTTCAGGACCACTGGACCCACTCCTAGTCTCGTCCGCTACATCTGCCAGAGTCTGTCTTCACATACAGGGAAAGACCCTAACTCACTGAGGGTTTGAGACTTGACGGCTCCCCTCGCCTGGTTCAGCCGGCGAGTCGAAGCCGTTCCCAGGGTGTGGCCCCTGTCTCATGCTTCTAGGAGCCACAAGTGAGAGCTGAGTGCAGGCGTGGGGCCAAAAGGTGGACAAACTACCCCAGAAGGAGCACAATATGTTCCCCCGTCCAGCTTGCTAAGTTCCTATTTATAGCAGCCATTCCTTCAGAGCAAAGAGGACTAGAATCTTGCGTTATTTTAAGGGCAGTAGCACTGCCTTGCCTGAGGAGGTCCCAGAACCAGTTCCTCAGAATATCACCTGCCGCAAACCCTGGAGGGTCGCTGCTGCCAGCCAGTGTGGACAATATTGAGGTCGACGGACCCCAAAGGTCTGATTCGGCAGCTTCCTATGTCCCTAATGGCTCTCCTGTGCACATAACGTTCATCCGAACGTACAAGCAGAATCACGGAATTGCCAAGTCGGAAGGGACCCGAGGGTCATCCATTCCAACCCCCTGCAATGCAGGACTCTTTAGCCGAACATGGGATTCGAACCCACAACCCTGGGATCAAGATTCTACCAAATGAGCTGTCACAGCTATTTTAAGTCCAGGGCAAAGGTGCATCACGGCTTGGATATCCATGAGGGTCAATTCGGAGCAGAGATAAATATGTTTTAACAAAACACCTTACTTTACTTTTTGGCATATGAGCAGGGAACAGATTGGCCGCACACAAAACCGTGTACAGAACTGTTCCGAGATCAGAACAGGAGGCCAGATTTTTCTCTCGCCGCGCACAACTTCCAGAACGCAACACCGGTTTTCGTTTCTCAGATTTTTCAAAATACGTCCGTCGCAGGAGAGGCAGAAACCAAGACGCCCAAAGGCTTTCCCACACATCTTCCTACCGCCTCTGCGTCCTGCCTGCTATGTCTGGTGTATTCATTTCATTTAATTTCAGTTAAAAATTATACACTGCTTGGTTGTTAAAAGCAACAAGCTCAAACCAGTTTACAAAAGAAGAAGAAGAGAGAAAACGACAAAATTACCAGCATGGAAATTGCCCACAACAACAACAACAATTTAAAACTTTAGAAAAGTTATAGACTGAAATCTGCATCACACTGTACACGAGTTGTCGGCCTCAATTTGTTTTTAACTATCCGGCCGTTTCTTAGAAAGCGCTGCATTTTTAGGTGTCCGTTCCTGCCCTCCCTGCCAAACCAGTCTCGATCCGAATTGAGGCAAAACGAACGCTTCAAGCCGGTGGCACGCACGCAACGCGAGAACGGCGGAGGAAAATGAAACCTGCGATTGTGGGATGTTAGGGGAAACGAGAGAGGAAGAGAAAGAGAGAGAGAGAGAGAGAGAGAGAGAGAGAGAGAGAGAGAGAGGAAAAGAGAAAGAAAAAGGGAAAGAGAAAGAGAAAGAGAAAGAAGTCAAGATTTTGGGCTCTGTTCCCCCAGCCCACCCCAGCGAAGCCCTCCTACCCAGCACGCCGAGCCGGTAATTCATGGTGACGACTATGACGTTCCCGTAAGCGGCCAGGACACTGCCGTCGAACATGTTCCCGGTCCCCTCCATATAGGATCCGCCGTGGATAAACAGCATCACCGGTTTCTTGCCGCTGTCCCGGATATCTGCGGGGCGAGAAGGGAGAGATGGGTGGCGTGAGGCTGGGACCGTTCCCTCCACGACGGCCTCTCGCCGTTCCTCTTTGGGAGGAAGGATGGAGAGGTTCCCCCCAGCACGCGGCAGACACGCAAGCTCCTCTCTGCGCGCTGCTGTTCCACGAATGGCAGGGGGTTGGGATGGATGATCTTTGGGGGACCCACTTCCGACTCTGCCGTTCTGAGAGTCCATGAATACAGAGCAGGAATCAGTAGCTGAGGAGAGCTGGGAGGTGAGAGGGATGAGAACAGGGGGGAACGGGCAGCGTGTGTTCTCGAAACCAGGGACCCCTGAAATTGTTGGGCCTTTGCAAGTCAAGTTGCGTGACGAGTTATGGGTGCTGAGCACCCTGAGGAGACCCCTATTCCCCTCACACAGCTACAGTCCTCCATCCCTTGAAAATAGGAGTGGATTTGTTAAGCCACTTTGGGAACTGTAGCTCAGAGAGGGGGGTCACCTCACGATGCCCACGACCCTTAACCGAACCGCAACTCCCAGGATGCCTTGAGGGAAGCCAATTTTGACACTCCATGTCCCTTCCCAGGGAACTCTGGGAATTGCAGGCCTGCAAGGGGAAGAACTACAACTCCCAGAATTCTCTGGGAAGCCATCACTGTTGACGGCGCTTTAAAGACAGGGTGCGAATGCGGCTTTGGCTGGGAACCCCAGCGGATCAGTAGGGTTACGAGGCGCTATTGCAATGAGATCCAGAATCCTGGCCGGACCCCAGGCCCAAATCCCACAAGCCGATGACCAGGGAACTGGTGGGGCAGGTGTGTTTGGGGTCCGCAGGTGAGCTGGGTCCCAGGCCAGAGATGAATGAAAGGACGATGTTTGAAGCTTAGCCAATGGAGGGATGCTCATTTTTGATTTTTGTGGTGTTTTATGTCCCGGTTTCCGTCCCCCGCAACACCTCAGCCCAACTTTGGCCACTGGGATAAGGTGAAAGGGCTTGGGGGGCTGTGACTCGCTGTACCCCCGAACCATGCCTCCCTGGGGAGGGGGAGACGCGGAAAAAGGGCAGCCCCTCTCCTCAAGCCCCGGCCTGCGTTTCTAGGTCACATCCATTTCCATGGCAACCTGGAGCCTAATTAATTCGCTGCAAGGGGAGAGCGTTAATTAGACGCACCAAGGTCTTAATTAGCGGTTTCCACTCGGCCCCTCCCCCCACCACCCGCCTTTCCTGAGGGGAACAGATGGGGAAGAGGGTGGGGCCAAAGGAAAGGAGGTCGTGATTCATAGAATCCCCCCCCAAAAAACCAACAACCACCCCACACACGTGTGTTTGACTTTGGGCAACCTGATCCCCCTCGCATTGGGCTGGGTGTTCATCAAAATGCGGATGATACCCAGCTCTACCTCTCTTTCAAATCAGAACCAGTGAAGGTGGTGAAGGTCCTGTGTGAGTGTCTGGAGGCGGTTGGAGAATGGATGGCAGCTAACAGATTGAGGTTGAATCCTGACAAGACAGAAGTACGGGAGGTGGGCAGGTGTGGAGGACTCCCTGGTCCTGAATGGGGCAACTGTGCCCCTGAAGGACCAGGTGCGCAGCCTGGGAGTCATTCTGGACTCACCGCTGTCCATGGAGGCGCAGGTCAGTTCTGTGTCCAGGGCAGGTGTTTACCAGCTCCATCTGGTACGCAGCTGAGACCACATAACACCAGTCTGGAAAGACCTACATTGGCTCCCAGTACGTTTCCGAGCACAATTCAAAGTGTTGGTGCTGACCTTGAGAGACCTAAACGGCCTCAGAGGCCCAGTAGACCTGAAGGAGCGTCTCCACCCCCATCGTTCTACCCAGATACTGAGGTCCAGCGCCAAGGGCCTTCTGGCAGTTCCCTCCCTGCGAGAAGCCAAGGAGCAGGGAACCAGGCAGAGGGCCTTCTCGGTGGTGGTGCCCTCCCTGTGGAACACCCTCCCACCAGATGTCAAAGAGAACAACAACTACCAGACTTTTAGAAGACATCTGAAGGCAGTCCTATTTAGGGAAGCTCTTAATGTTTGATGTATTACAATATTTTAATATTTTTTTGGAAGCCGCCCAGAGTGGCTGGGGAAGCCCAGCCAGATGGGCGGGGTATAAATAATAAATTATTATTATTATTATTGTTGTTGTTGTTATTTGCCCGAAACACACCTCCTATTTCCTCCAAATACCTCTTTCTCTTACACATATATATCTCAAGACGCTGTGACTCGTGGACTTCCAGCAAAACCGAATGTTGGAAGATTTGGGACCATTTTCTGAGTCTATCTGAACAGATCATGTATTAATTCCAACGGTTCGGGTTCGAGTGCTGTTGCTTTTTGCACGAGGTGCACAGGATATGGTCTTTGCTGGGCCAGGAACAGGTTACTTTGGAAGGCTCTAAGTTAACGCAGAGACTGATGCAAAACCTCTTGATTAAAGGTAGCCAAATTCTGTGCAATTGCCATAAAACTTCGGGAACAAGCTGTGCTATCGTCATGTTTAAGGTTAAATAAGTTGGAGTTCTTGTTATTAAATATACCAAGAAAAAAGAACTCAGGCCAATGTAAGTTTTAATAGTGGGAGTGGTCCCTACTCGCAAATCAATAGTCATTTGTAACAAACTCTAATCCATTCAAAAGTATGTATTCCGTCAAGGATTACAAACTCAAATAGAGAATTTAAATGTATTTTCATGTAATATTTGTTACTTCCAGCTGATGAAGGTGAATACGTCGAAATAGGGTCCTGTCCTGGTTTCTGATCCATAATTGACTTCTGACGGTGGACTAACATGAACCTACTGGTTTCTTATCATAATGATTAAGGCCTTAAATTTATAATTTTAGGTTATATATTAGTGACTTAAGTTTTAATTTCTTTTTTTTTTAACTGTTGCTATATCTGTATTGTCCCTGTTATATCTAATTGCAAATTCAAATGTATCCCTATCGTGTTTTATAACCTCCTTGATATTGTATGTGGGCTGGAACTGTGACCGAAATAATAAAATTCGTTCATTCAGGACAGGCAACAGAAAAGTCCTGCGGAACTCCCTGCCACAGGGGGCGGCGGCCATCTTGGGTGGGCGAAGTCGCAGAGGAGGAGAGGGCTGTCGGCGGTGACTAGGGTGACTAGGGCTCTGCTGCCATAGTTGGAGGCCACTGGCCTGATCCTGCTGGGCTCTAGGTATGTTCCTATTTCCTTGTGAGCATACTGCAGCCGCCCTCCTTTGGGGAATGTGTCAGGTAACGCAAGGCATTATTTGGGTCCTTTTGCCCATCAAATTCACTTGCTGGCCTCCGTTCTCTACATGCTTGGTCAGAACATCAGAACATCAGAAAAGCGACAGGCCCAGCGTCACCCAGTGAGCTTCATGGCCATGTGGGGGGTGGAATTTGAACCCTGATCCCCCCCTCCCCACTTCTTAATCTACCTCTCTTTCAAATCAGAACCAGTGAAGGCGGTGAAGGTCCTGTGTGGTGTCTGGAGGCGGTTGGAGGATGGATGGCGGCTAATGGATTGAGGTTGAATCCTGACAAGGCAGAAGTACTGTTTTGGGGGGACAGGAAGCAGGCGGGTGTGGGGGACTCCCTGGTCCTGAATGGGGCAACTGTGCCCCTGAAGGACCAGGTGCGCAGCCTGGGAGTCATTTTGGACTCACCGCTGTCCATGGAGGCGCAGGTCAGTTCTGTGTCCAGGGCAGCTGTCTACCAGCTCCATCTGGGACGCAGGATGAGACCCTCCCTGTCCGCAGACTGTCCGGCCAGAGTGGCGCATTCTCTAGTTATCTCCCGCTCGGACTACTGCCATGCGTTCTACATGGGGCTACCGTTGAAGGTGACCCGGGAACTACAATTAATCCAGAATGCGGCAGCCAGACTGGGAACTGGGAGACCATATAACAACAGTCCTGAAAGACCTACATTGGCTCCCAGTATGTTTCCGAGCACAATTCAAAGCGTTGGTGCTGACTTTGAAAGCCCTAAACGGCCTCAAAGGCCCAGTAGACCTGAAGGAGCGTCTCCACCCCCATCGTTCAGCCCGGACCCTAAGGTCCAGCTCCGAGGGCCTTCTGGCGGTTCCCTCACTGCGAGAAGCCAAGTTACAGGGAACCAGGCAAAGGGCCTTCTCGGTGGTGGCCCCCGCCCTGTGGAATGCCCTCCCTTCAGATGTCAAGGAAATAAACAACTATCTGACTTTTAGAAGACATCTGAAGGCAGCCCTGTTTAGGGAAGCTTTTAATGTTTGATGCATTATGGTATTTTAATATTTTGTTGGAAGCCGCCCAGATGGCGGGGTATAAATAATAAATTATTATTATTATAAAATTATTATTAATCCAGCACTCTAACCGCTACACCGCACTGCTGTTGGGACTCCAGCTCCCCCCCACTCCAGTCAACGTTTAGAAATACCAGGATCAGGCCGACGGCCCATTCTGTTCTCACAGCGGCCAACCTGTGGGAAAGCCAGCAAGCAGGATTCGAACGCAAGACCCGCTCTTCCCTCCTGCGGTTTCCGGCAGCTGGAATCCAGGAGCGTCGCTGCCGCTGACCGTGGAGGTCAACGCACAGCCATCCTGGCTTGGAGCCACAGATATTCCTCTCTTTATCTTCCACAAATTTCTCCGATCCTTATTTGAAGGTGTATTCCATTTGTGGGACAATTCATCTGGTGGCAGGGAGTTCCGTCGGTTAATTACAGCATGGGACGCTTAATCTCAAGGTTGTGAGTTCGAGTCTCAGGTTGGGTCAAAGATCCCTGCATTTCCCATGCAACGCGATGGTTATTTGTTGTGTGAAAACCACTGGGTGGCCCTTGAGTCATTTCAATACTGTAAACCAGACCCTTCCAGATATTTTGGACTGGAGCTGCCATCAACCCCAGCCAGGGCATGATGGGAGTTGTAGTTCAAAGCACAGCGGGCAGTGCCAACGGGCGCTGCTGTTTGAAAGATCTGGAGGGCACCCGGTTGAGGATTACTGCGGTGAGCCCTCGCCCTGCTGTGGGTGTTAGGAGGAGAAATTCTGGGTGCTCCAGCTGTTTGCCAGATGTTTCGCAGGAGAGGAGGGGGGCTCCAAAGCGGGGAGATGAATATGTTGCTGACCTTCTTTTTGCTCGGCGTACCCACAAACCAGAACCGCAAAAGGGTCCAGAAAAGGCCACCCCAAATTATCGAGGGGACGGGGAGCAGTTGGGGCATTTGGGAATTTCTGGTTTCAGAGGAAAGGCCCAAATCCGTGAAATTAGGCCTTGCACAGAGACTGAGAAAGGGTTTGCCTCCCTCTCTGGCAACACTGGAACTCGTGAACGTTGGAAGATTTAAAAAAAAGACCTTTTTCATGCTGTTGTTCAACTATGGAACTCCCTGCCACAGGAAGCCAACCGAGACGGCTTTAAAAGAGGCCTGGACCAATTCACGGAAGAGGAGACGGCTTTGGACAGCCGGACACCTTCATTCGACATCTTTAGGGGCCAGGCGGAAATGTTCCTCTCTGAGCCGCCTTGTGTCTTTTTAATATTCCACGGACTTCTAAATGTGAGAGAGGGGGGGCTATTGTTTTAACTATTTATTTGTGCTTTTATGCTGTATTTTAATCTTGTGAACCGCCCTGACATCTTCGGATGAAGGGCAGTATATAATAATAATAATAATAATAATAATTGCTGTAATCCAGTAGGAAACAGCAGGTGGAACGAGGCTCAGATCCTGTGTTCGAATTCTGCTTGTAGGCTTTCCCTTGGGGCATTTGACTGGCCGCTGTGAGAAGTCTTCCCCAACAGATATGCCATTTTATATATATATATATATTGGGGTGCAAATTTAATAACTTTGGAACTCCCTGCAACTTGATGTCAGGCTCCACACTTTTTGGGGTGCCTGCTTTGAACATTTTAGTTTAGGCAAGCCTGTTTAAGACACATAGGCCCTTGACACGTGTTTTAATCTGTGTTTTATTTAGCTTATTGTCCATTATTCCTAAACCTTTTTTTAAAAAGCTGCTTTTACCCATCCTCTTATCGCTTTAAACTTTCCGTAAGCCGCTCTGAGACCTTTTCCTTCTCCTCACCACCGTTTCGCCAGACGAAACGAACAATAGGTAAATAAGCGGGGGGTCAGGCTAGATGACCCCGGCGCCCCCTTCCAACTCTACGATTCTATCATCTCCCTTCAAGGCATTTAAACAGCCCTCCGCTCTGATTCTGGACCCGTTTCACGCTGAATCCTCTGCTGTATCCTCTTGGACTTTGTGGCGTTGTTTTAAACGAACGCCGTGTCAGCTGCCCTAAAAGGGAAAAAATTAATAGCGCAGGGATTTTTGATTTTGAAGACCTTTTCCCTCAGGATATGGCCCCAGATCTCTGGGCCGTCCTTCGCTCTGTCCCCACCTGCCATTCGCTTCAGACATGCGCTGGCTGCCAGATACGGTCCCAGGCGCCCCCAAAATCTTTGGACAAGAAGCCTTATTCTTAGTTGGAATCGCTTTGGGGGGAGATTCTAGCTTGTAATTGCTTTTAGATGCAATTGTTTTTAGAACGTCTCCACCTGTTTTACAAGGCTTTTGCATTTTGCTTTTCAATTGCATCTTCGTTTGTAGCCCCGGGACCCTCAGGGAGGAACGGCCGGCTATAAATTCAATAAATAAAAAGGATAAAGAAAGAAAGATGTGTTATTATTCTTTTTATTATGTGCCCAGGTTTTCCTCGACCCACGACACCATGCCCCAGCCTTCACTTTTCTGATTTCCTAATTTCATTTGCTTTTACGCCGCTGTTTCACTGGTTTTAAGTTGCATTTTTCGTTTCAGTTTTTGTTTTTTCACCTCTGAAACGTTGTTGCTGTTTTTGTTTGAAATAATAAGCAATTTGGAGCCGTTTCCTTTATAAGGGAAACATATGCAGAAATGGATACTTGAAATAAGCACCTGTCCTGTACTGCCAGAATATGGCAGCATTGGTACGGGAGAAAGAAAGAAAGAAAAACTCTGCATGTGCTCAGGAACACACGCAGGAAGGGTTCAGAAGGGTGCGCCTTGTCTTCAGAACGTGATTTTCTAAATCCATACTCTTCGGCTGAACAATGCAGCTCACAATCTTAGCTCACTAAAACGGGACTAGCTCACAAAACAGCCGCAGTTCCTGCATTGCACAGGGTTGGTCTAGATGACCCCTGGTGTCCCCACTCTTTATTTCTATGACTAATTCAATAGCTTGGGGTTCTCTCCTCAAATTCTCCTTTTCCCTGTGTTGGAGAGGGGGCCTCAGGATGGGACAAGGAAGGAGTTCTTAAGTATACGGTGAACCCCGAATTCTTTCCCTGCCTTAACTCCACCAAACTCTACCAATTTAGTAGAATGGAATCGGTAAAATCCTGAGCAGGCACTGTTTCATGGTTTCCCCATGCAGGAAGTATTTTTCGATAACCAGTGTCTGCCTTGCTCTGCTAGATTTCTACTTGCAGGGAGTATTTTTTTTAGATAACCGGCGTCTGCCTTGCTCTGCTAGATTTCTACTTGCAGGGAGTCTCTTTTAAGATAATCAGTGTCTGCCTTGCTCTGCTAGATTTCTACTTGCAGGCCATCTTTTTAGATAATCAGTGTCTGCCTTGCTCTGCTAGATTTCTACTTGCAGGGGGTCTTTTTAGATAACCAGTTCCTTCCCTGCTCTGCTAGATTTCTACTTGCAGGGAGTCTTTTTTAATAACCAGTGTCTGCCTTGCTCTGCTAGATTTCTACTTGCAGGGAGTCTTTTTAGATACGCCCCTCCCCCCATCTAGTAAAGGTAAAGGGACCCCTGACCATTAGGTCCAGTCGTGGCCGACTCTGGGGTTGAGGCGCTCATCTCGCTTTCGTGGCCGAGGGAGCTGGCGTACAGCTTCTGGGTCATGTGCCCAGCAGGACTAAGCTGCTTCTGGCGAACCAGAGCAGCTCACGGAAACGCCATTTACCTTCCCGCCAGAGTGGTACCTATTTATCTACTTGCACTTTGACGTGCTTTCGAACTGCTAGGGTGGCAGGAGCAGGGACAGAGCAACGGGAGCTCACCCCGTCGCTGGGATTCAAACCGCCAACCTTCTGATCGGCAAGTCCTAGGCTCTGTGGTTTAACCCACAGCGCCACCCGCGTCCCCTTCACCCACCTTTGGCTCGGCCCAAACACCAGGAGCCTCCTCTTTCCTTTTCCGTTATTGTTCTCTGCATGAACGGCCGTTAACCTCCGGAACTGCCTGCCACAGGAATTCCCGAGAGAGTCAAGAGAGAAGGCCGCGCTTTGAATTGCGGGCGGGCGGAAGAAGAGGGCCAACGTCAGGGCAGAGAGGCAGGATCCGCGGGCTTGTCCCGAGAGAGTAGCGCCACCCACAGCGCCACCCGCGTCCCTCCCCCATCTAGTAGAAGATTGTAAAAACGTGACCCTTCTCTTTCAGTCTAAAGCAGTGCTGCCCATTCTACACCCCGGATAAACCCTCGTTGATCTATTTGTGTGGCAGCACCTAGCCTCTGGAACTCCCTGCCAGGTGCCTTCGCTGGGCTCTTTTCGGGGCCAGCTAAAAAAAAAATTTTTGTTCAGACAAGCCTGCACAGACGTGTAGAACATCAACGTACATTTTGATATGTTTTTACTTTATTGCTGATTTTTGTTTGTTTTAAAGAGTCGCTTTTTACTGTTCTTACTGGCAAATTTATTGTTTTCTTCTCCTTGTAAACTTGTTTTTAGGATTTATTTATTTTTTACAATCAAGGGGTGTATAAATTTTAAATAAGTAAAAGGAAACTGTTCCACCGCCTCATTCTGCCACCGTCAGTGAATGTGGCACTGGGTGCGAAACAAGACGTTTCTCTTTGTGCTTTGTCTTCTTTCCTCCGCTTCCGCTTGTATAGTTTTTATAACAATAAAAACCACACGCAAATGGTTCTGCATTCACGAGCCTCAGGTTCTGGGAGATCGGAAGTGTCAATTTCTGCTCTTAAACTAACCACAGTCGTTGTCCCCATTACATCCAAACTGCGGTTTCCTGGAAACACCGTGGTTTGTTAAAACGAACCACAATCAAATTGTTCTGGCTTGTTCTGAAACCACAGTTTAGAGAAACCACAGTTCCATAGATTTGGACGAAATGGGAAACTGAGGTCAGTTGAAAAGTTGCAGAAAGGTTTGGGATGTTTTTTCATGTAGAGGAAAGACGATTAAGAGGCGACATGATAGAAGTCAAGTACGCATGGCCCAAGGAAAATCATTTCCTCCCTCTCTCGTGGCAGTAGGGCATATAATAATAATAATAATAATAATAATAATTTATTACTCTGGCAGCTTCCAACAAGAGATTAAAAGTACATTAAATGAAGTTGTACATTGGAAGTTTCAGGACAGATAAAAGATAGCCTTTCTTCCTGCAGCGCTGTTAACCTGTGGAACTCTCTGCCACAGGGTGGCCACCAACTTGAATGGCCTTAAAAGAGGACTGGGCAAATTAGGACTAAGGGTATCCAGTAGCTCATTTACGAGCAAACACGGTCTGCATAACTTTGCAAAGAGAGGCTGGAACCACAACCAGTGAGCAAATTTTGCTAACAGCAGAGGATTTCCCACCGTTTCGGCTCATTTTTCTTTTCCTACATGGGATTAAAATACCCGGAGGAGAGTTGCAGTTTGGACTTTTGTTGGTACGAAATAACCCTCCGCGTACACCAGGACCCACGAGTCCAATTTCTCCGCTCCATCTAATAAACCCAAAATAGTCCAGTCCACCAAGTTCCTGCTCCCTCTGCGTAATAATTTGCTGCAGGACCCTTTAAAAAACAACGCAAAACCCCAAACCCTTTCCTGCATTTTCTTTCCTCAAATTAGAACTCTCAGCAGCGCCATTCCAGTCCTGGCGAAATAAAGGGCTGTGGTTGCAAAAAAAGAAAAGGGGGAGAGAGGGAAGATATTCGAGGCCTGCTTTTCAGCGAGACTTCCCCTTTTCTCCTCCGAAAATTTCACGAAAATTCCCTGCATGGCCACATCAGTGAGAGATATAATTCCGCAGGGACACCCGAAACACAACCGTCTGATTGTTTTGGGGCAAAAGGCGATGGAAAACAGTAAGGCCACTGCTGAGCGGGGCAAAAAAGGGAAATAATTCTTAACTTATTTTGGTCTTTAAACGGGCGCATCATTGCACCCTAAATCGGTGAAATTATCACATAAAAGTATTTATCGGTTAGCTTTGGGGGTTGGCCCCCTTTGCTCAAGGGGGGCAGAGCACTTTGCATGCAGACGGTTGCGGGTTCAAACTCCGACAGAGTCTCCGTTTTAAAAGGGAACAAGGAAACAGCCAGGGACCCAGAGAGATGCTGCCAGCCAGAACGGGTAACACTGGCTTAGATGGGCAAAAAAGCCACAAGGCGTGTTTTTTTCCCTGCGTTTCTCCCAATTAGGCAACATTTCTTACGAGAAGCTGTGGGCGTATCCTGTTAACCAAACAGTCAAAGCACCTACAATTCCTTCACTCTCTAGTTCCTTTCTTGCCACAATTCCCACGCCGCCCGGGTGCAAAGCGGCGGAAGGGGAGCCAGGTCTCGTTGGACTCCAACTCCCATCATCCCCCTGGGCCATTGGGCAACGCTGGCTGGGGCTGATGGGAGGTGTAGTACGTCGACATCTGGTTGAGGAAAGCTGTTCTCGGCTTCTGACCAAGAAAACAAGGGAGCAAAGCAACTTTTCTGTAAAATGGGCACGAGGGAAATTGGGTCACCACCTGCTTTAATTCCGTCAGTTTGGGAGTGACAAGAAATCTTCCGCTTTCACAACTGGGGACTTTTAAGGGGTGGTGATGGCTTGTTTGAGGGACACCCTGGTTGGGGGAAAAATAACCCAAATATATATATTTTTAAGTTCGTAAAGGCAAGAAAACAATGGGAACCAGAGAACAACACCAGAGTCCCGTCCCACGAAGCCCGTTCCTCTCTCACAATGAATTAAAAGTTGCCAAGTTCAGAAAATACCCCCCGTGGGCTTTTCTCCACCAAAAAAAAAGCCACTTTGTTTTGGAATTTGTGAGCGAGGAGGATTATGGGAAACAGGCCCAAAGCTTGGTTTGCTTTGGTGGGGACACCAGCCCGACACCCCACACCCACAAATACAAGCACACACCCAAATCCCAAATGAAATTCTTCCCTTTGCAATAAAAGTTCTTCTAAATCTCAGTAAATCATCTGGCCCTAAATGGATTGGGGGGGGCAGTATTGTAATTATTATTATTGTTTGTTTCCCTTCCAAAAAAAAGGAGGAGAAAAAAAGAGAGGAAAAGATAAAGAAAGAAGGAAGCGAAAATTGTGATGATTTTGGAAAACAAGAAAGGGGTGGGTGCTTTCCCAAAAAAAGGAAAAAAGAGGGGGGGAAGGGTTGCTTTTTTTCCAAAAGTTTATATATTATTTGTTCTGGTTTCTTTTCTTTTCTTTTTTTAATCAATATATATATATATTTAAAAAGAAGAAGAAGTAAAAAACCAAAAAACCAAAACCAAAAAAAAAAAGGAAAATATTTTGTTTCTGTTTCTGTTTTGTTTTTGTTTTTTTTAAAAAAGCAAGATTTGTGAAACATGCAGGAAAAATACCTTCGTCTGGAGAGGGATTGTTAGTTGACACCTCCTCACGCTTTTTCGTGAGCGGACCTAAGAGCAAGAAAAAAGAAGAAAAAAGAAAAATGGGACAAGGGGGTAAAAAGAGAGAGAAAGATCAAGAAAAAAAAGAGATCGGTTTTTGCGTTTTGTTTCTCGTCTGCTTCAGCAAAAAGGGAAAAAAGCAATATTTCTTTTCTTTCTTTTAGCAAAATACAAACAATTTTCGTTTTTAAAGGTTTTTTTTCTCTCCTGGGCTTGTGTGTGTGTGTTGCTGATGTTGCTGGGATATTTTTATTTTTCCTTCCCCCCCCCACCGAAAAAAGCATATATATATATATATAATAGATTTATATATATGACACAGAATTATAGAGAAACCGGATGCTGTGAAATTAAAAGTTGGTTAGAGACGCACCAGGTTGGGAGGTGTGGGTGGGTGGTGGGATAGATCCTGAAATGGATAACAGAACCATATGGACTACCTGGGAGGGAGGGATTCTTTGCTTGCAGTTTCTGCATCGGAGCGGGTTGGACTAGATGACCGCTGCTGGTCCCTTTCAAGTCTACAACCATCTGCAAGGGACCCTGCAAGATGCGATTTTCCTGCATCGCAGGAGGGTTGGACTAGATGATATTTGGGGCTCCCTTTCCAAATTTCATTACCATTCAACACCCCTGGGACACCGGCCGGGGAGAGGGCAGACAAGCTCACTTACTTAAGGGCCACACCAAATTCCTCTCTTCGCAAGGGACTTGCCGGATCTTTAAATTGGAAACCAGCGTCTTAGGAAACCTGTGTGCCTGCAAAAACTGTCCTGTTTTGTTATCATCCGTGCTTTTTTCCTGAAGAAAATGCTTAGGGGGTACTCTTGTTTTGACTCGAGAAAAATCACCATTTTGTACTTCAAATCGAGGGACACAAACACAGCAAATGGACAAGAGTACAGGGGACACTTGGGTTGCGAACGTGATCCGCGCAGGTTGCGATTCGGCGCTTCTGCGCATGTGCAAAGCGCGATTTAGCGCTTCTGCGCATGCTCGACCGCCGAAACCTGGAAGTATCCCATTCCGGTACTTCCGGGTTTTGGCAGTCTGTAACCCGAAAAAACGCAGCCTGAAGCGTCTGTAACCCGAAGTATGACTCTACAAAGATTCACAAAATGTGGGCTTTGCGTACCTCCAGAAAAAAAGTACTGGTTATTATATTGTGCATTTTTATTTTGCAAAATGCCTTTGTGATCCTCGGATGCTGTCATAAATTGGATCTCAAATGCCTTGGCTCCAGAACAAATCGGCTCCCGAATGATCGAAACCTGGGAGTGAGCGTTCCGGTTTCTGAACGTCCTTTCGGAAGCCGAACATCTGACGGGGCTTCCGATTGGCTGCAGGAGCTATTTCCTGCAGCCAATTAGAAGCCGCGCTTCGGTTCCCAAACGTTTCGGAACCCGAACGGACTCCCGGAACGGATTCCGTTCGAGTTCCCAGGTACGACTGTGAGGAAATTTAATAAACGGATACATCTCCTCGTGTAACCGCTTAGAAATGCTAAAAAATGCTAAGCGCTTTTAAATAAAATGAAATAAATATGCTTTTTTGAGACTTTTTCTCCCAAGGGTGCTGATTCCAAAGTCGAGTCACTAACCCGCTTCCTGGGTCGTGGTTGTCGTTTTTGGTTCTTACGGCCTTTAACCGGTGTGTGACATCATTTCTCAGGGACACAGAGGGTCAGTTCGCCTGGCTGCTAACCGGAAGGTTGGCGGTTCGAGTCCAGCCACGGGTGGCTGTGGGCAGGACTCCTGCATTACAGAGGGTTGGTCTAGATGGCACTTCAGGGTCCCTTTTCCATCTGGACAATTCTATGAGCAAGCAAGCATTCCACAGGTGCAGTCCCCTCCCCAGGCAGAACTGTGCGCGGAAGCTACACCCGTCGGACTCCTGCCTGCGTCCCAAACATCCTTCCGGAAGACGCGGGAGGAAGGAACCGGGAGGCAAAGAGGACGAGGATGGTGACTGGAGAGGGAAGCGACAGAAAGCAGAGCGAACCGGGAGCTCTTTTTAATTTGGCGTCCTAGAGAAAAGGTTTATCTCTCCGAGGCGAAGCCGAGAGCCCAGCGGGCCACGGGAAGGAGGCGTCGAGACGGGATTTGGCAGGCAGATGGGAGAGGGGGCGTGTGTGGCTGCAGCAAAGCCGCAGGACGTTGGAAGGGACCCGTGCGGTCATCCATCTCAACCCCCTGTGGCTGGAGGAGGAGGTGTCGACAGACGGGCAGACGGCGCCGCCTGAAGAGCGCTGAGCTGGAGGAGGAAGGGGCCAAAGGAGATGTCGATGCCCCACAGGGCCCCACTGAGGCCGATCCTGTGCCTTCCGGGAGAAGGGGGTCAGACTCGCGGAAGGGAGAAGAGAGGCGTTAGCCTGCATCCCCAAGGAGGAGACACGGAAGGCCAGGGTTTTCCAGCTCCCGAGCAATGCAAGCAGGCCCCTGTGGATCTTTGGAACTCCCTGCTACAGGAATTCCCAAGAGAGTTTGCCAGGAAGGCAGCAGAGTATCTGAGGAGGGGGACTTGCAACCCAAGGGAAATCCTATGCCGAGAGGGGGAGTTTTGGGGGACAGGGGAAGGAGAGGCGAAAGGATTGGCGCCGTGCCCGGCTCAGCTCCGCCGGCCGAAATCTGGGGCAGCGCGACGGCTGGCATCTCCCTTTCCTCCCTGATGTGATGGGGGAACTGGGCATTTGCAGATTAAGACAGAAGGATTTTTCACGGGCTGGCGATTCGCCCCGGGGCACCAGCATCCTCTGCTATATAAAGAGAGCAGCGAAAGGGAGGGCAGAGCGGGAGAGCGGAAAACAGGGAGAGAAGGAGGGAGGGAAGGGGCTAACCACAAGTGCCCCTTCACCCTCCTGACCTGCGCTACTCTCTCGGGACAAGCCCGCGGATCCTGCCTCTCTGCCCTGACATCGCCCCTCTCTTCTTCCACCCACCCACAATTCAAAGCGCGGCTTTCTCTCTTGACTCTCTCGGGAATTCCTGTGGCAGGCAGTTCCAGAGGTTAACGGCCGTTCATGCAGAGAACAACAACAGAAAGGGAAAGAGGAGGCTGCTGGTGTTCGGGCCGACCCAAAGGTGGGTGAAGGGGATGCGAGTGGCGCTGTGGGTTAAACCACAGAGCCTAGGACTTGCCGATCAGAAGGTCGGCGTTTCGAATCCCCGCGACGGGGTGAGCTCCCGTTGCTCTGTCCCTGCTCCTGCCAACCTAGCAGTTCGAAAGCACGTCAAAGTGCAAGTAGATAAATAGGTACCGCTCCGGCGGGAAGGTAAACGGTGTTTCCGTGCGCTGCTCTGGTTCGCCAGAAGCGGCTCAGTCCTGCTGGCCACATGACCCGGAAGCTGTACGCCGACTCCCTCGGCCAGTAAAGCGAGATGAGCGTCGCAACCCCAGAGTCGGTCACGACTGTACCTAATGGTCAGGGGTCCCTTTACCTTTACCTAAAGGTAGGTGAACCCAGCCGCCCTGCGCTACTTATCAAAGGACCCGATCTGATGGAATTTACCGTAGCTGTGGTTGCGGGGGTTGGAGTAGATGACCCCTGGGGTCCCTTCCAGCTTCTGTTATTCTATATGAATGCTTCCCACTGGATCAGACCCAAAGTGGGCTACCTCTGCCACGCTCCCGTTGCTTTTAACTATCCTACTCCCTGGGAGTTATAGTTTGGGGTGAGCCCCGGACATTCTGCAGGGCCTGTAAGACAGAGTTGTTCCACCTGGCCTTTGGCTTGGAGCCAGTTTGATTCCCTCCCCCTCTTTCTTTTTCCTTCTCCTCCTGTGATGAGGCTGCATTTTAATATTTTAATGTTTCAATATTTTAATGTTGTATTTTAACCTTGTTTTTAAGTTGTATTTGTTCAATTTGTTTTAATTCTTGCTTGTTAGCCACCCTGAGCCCGGCCTTGGCTGGGGTGGGCGGGGTATAAATAAAAATTATTATTATTATTATTATTATTATTATTATTATTATCATCATCTTGTCCGCACCGGCTCACATTTCCCAGGGTGCACTGGGACGGACACAGATATTAAATCGCCCTGAGCCTATAGCAGGCTTTGCCAACCTGGTGCCCTCCAGATTTTGGGGGAATTTTATCTGCCATCGAGTCCATCCAACATGCCAGCGGTCAGGGATAATGGGAGTTGTAGTCTGATGCCTAGAGGGAACGAAAGATTGGGGGAGACTGCGGCGGAGGTGTCCCCGAGATTAAATTTTGCCATAAATGTTGGGTGAGTGGGTGAAGATTATTTTCCACTATTGGGGAGGGGTGGAATTGACCCTCAAAACTGAATTTCAGCATCCATACAGACAAATTTTATCTGCATTCCTTTATTTTTATCTGTAAGCCGCCTTGAGCCCCATCCTGGGGAAATTTTAATTTAAAAATATATAGTTTAAAGAAAATTTGTCCAGAGGGGTTACTCTGAGGAGGTCCAGGCTTCCACGCACATTTCCTACAGCTGCCTGCTATAATAATAATAATAATAATAATAATAATAATAATATTTCTACCCTGCTCACCTGGCTGGGTTTCCCCAGGCACTCTGGACAGCTTCCAACAAAATATTAAAAATACAATAAAACAACGGGCATTAAAAACTTCCCTAAATGGGGGGGCGGGACTTCCCTATCAAACAGGAACATCAAAAGATCCAGGCTGCAGGATCCGGCCAATGGCCCACCTAGGCTGTATTCGTGCCGAATGTTAAAAGCGCTGCGATACCGTTTTAAACAGTCATGGCTTCCCCCAAAGGATTCTGGGAGCTGCAGTTTGCTGAGGGTGCTGAGAGATGTGATGAGACCCCCCGCTATTCCCTTCAGAGAACTGCAATTCCCAGAATTCCCTGGGAAGAGGGATTGGCTGTTAACCCACTCTGGGAATGGTCTCTCCATGAGTGGGGACTGCAGGGTCTCCTCACCGCCCTCGGCAAACTACATCTCCCAGAATCCCTTGGGAGAAGACATGCCTGTTTGACCTCCAACACCGCTTCCCAGGGAACTCTGGGGTTTTTTCCTCTGTGCTCTCAGCACCCTCAATCCAACTACAGTTCCCAGGATTCCTTGGGGTGGGGAAGCCATGACTTTAAAGCGCTCAACGAACGACATGAACGTGGCCCTTCTAGGCCAGTGTTTCCCAAACGTGGGTCTCCAGCTGTTTCTGGACTACAACTCCCATCGCCCGCAGCTAGCAAGAGCAGCGGTGGGGGATGATGGGAATTGTAGTCGCGGAGACCCACGTTTGGGAAACCGCACTTTGGGGCAGATTCAGTTATGGGGCTTCCAGTTACTGGCTCCTCTTTAAATGAAGATTATCCCAGATTGGGCCTGGCATTAAATCCGCCTGTAACCTGCTCAGATTGTCCAGGAAAAAAACCCCAAAACCCAAACCAACCAACCCTCATCTGAGACCCCTTTCTCCTCCTGTGGGCCTCTCTTACCCCCACTCCAGACCCTCCAAAAGTCCCTATTTTCCAGTGTTATCCCCAGCTGTGAAACCTTTGGGACCAAGATGGTTGTGTTTTCTATTCCGGACCCTCCAAGTTTCTCTATTTACCAGGACGCCCCTGATTTATAGAAGCCGTCCCGGTTTTTTGATTTGATCCCAGAATCTCCCGCTTTTCCTTCGGACGTCCCTATTTCCACTGGAGAAATGTTGGAGGGTGTGGAGTTATCTGACCCCCGAGCCGTCCGAAAGCAATCCTGTACAGTGGTACCTCTGGATGCAAACGGATCCGTTCTGGAGCCCCGTTCGCACCCAGAAGCGAGCGCAACCCGCGCCTGCGCGTCGCAATTCGTCGCTCACGCCCATGCGCGTGGCACCATTTTGACAGCCTGTGCATGCGCGAGCGGCGAAACCCGGAAGTAACGCACTCCGTTACTTCAACCCGAGGTACGACTGTACAGTGGTACCTCGGGTTACGTACGCTTCAGGTTACATACGCTTCAGGTTACAGACTCCACTAACCCAGAAATATTACCTGGGGTTAAGAACTTTGCTTCAGGATGAGAAAAGAAATCGTGCTCCGGCGGCAAAGCAACAGCGGGAGGCCCCATTAGCTAAAGTGGTGCTTCAAGTTAAGGACAGTTTCAGGTTAAGAACGGATCTCCAGAACGAATTACCGTATTTTTCGCTCTATAAGATGCACCAGACCACAAGACGCACCTAGTTTTTGGAGGAGGAAAACAAGGAAAAAAAAATTCTGACTCTTAGAAGCCAGAACAGCAAGAGGGATCGCTGTGCAATCCCTCTTGCTGTTCTGGCTTCTGTGATAGCTGTGCAGCCTGCATGCGCTCCATAAGACGCACACTTACTTTTTAGGAGGGAAAAAGTCAGTCTTATAGAGCAAAAAATACAGTAAGTACTTAACCCGAGGTACCACTGTATAGGGAATGGGTGTTTTTTTTAAAATGCTTTTATTATGTTTTTATATCTGTTGGAACTATTGCATCCCCGCTGCCTCGGCCTCCTCCAGGTGAGGACAGGTGAGGGCATCCTTGCGGAGGCTGGACCAGGGAGACGCGAGAGCCTTTGCCGCTCAGGTGAGGGAGATTGGGGGGGCGAGAAGCAGCAGGCAGGGTTCCCAAATGGGACCTGACATTTCTCTGCGACGCCCCAGGCGGCAGCTGGGGGAAAGCGTGTCGCACGGAGGGGAGAAAGAGAGGGAGGGAGAGAGAGAGAGAAGATGTGAGGCACGGGGTGGGGGGGCGAGGGGCAGAGTTTGGGGTTGGGGGGTGTAGGAACAGCGGCTGCCTCTGCCAGGAGCAGGTGCCCCACACGGGGGGTGGGGTGGGGAGAGACGCTCCGATGCCTTGTGTGTGTTTTTTCCGCCTAGTGCTCTGGGATTTGCTCACCCCCCCTTCTTTAAATGCAACCCCCCCCTTCCCGGCCGTTGCCAAGGAAACTGGCTTAGCGATGCTGCAAAAAGAGAGAGGGATGGCTTGGTGGGAGATGGAAGGGGTGGCGTTTGGGGGGGGGAGAAGAAGCAGCTGGTTTCTCCTCCTCCTCCTCCTCTTTCTCGCCATCCCCTGCTTTTTGCAGAGTGTTCTCCCTCCCTTAATAATAATAATAATTTTTATTTATATCCCTCCCCAGCCAAAGCCGGGCTCAGGGTGGCTAACAACAATAAAATAAGACAACATTCTAAAATCATTTCATTAAAATTAATTCAACTCAAATTGTGGCCAGAAACAAATGTTTAAAAGGCTAATAATAATAATAATAATAATAATTCCAAAATGCATCCTGTTCTCAAAGTGGCAAGATCAATGCCCCCCCATAGGAAGCCCACAAGCAGAATGTAAGAATCCTAGAATGGTAGCGCTGGAAGGGACCCCGAGGGTCATCTAGTCCAACCCCCTGCAAAGCAGGATTTTTTTGCCCAACGCAGGACTCGAACCCACAACCCTGCGATCGAGAGCCTTGTGCTCTACCGACCGAGCTGTGCCAGTAGCCCTAAGGCCAGGCCATTCCTTGCCATTCTCCACCTCGAAAGCCCCCCGACCCTGAAGTTAGTGAGGTGGTTGTAGGGCGAGCGTCGTTCGGACAGGACCTGGCGGTGGGGGGAAAATGGCCTTGGGGAGTCCCCAAAGGGCCGCAGCAAAGGATTCTGGGAGCCAGAGCACCCTGGGTTTTTGGGGAGAGGAGACCTTGTTCCTGGAGGGATGAAGCTCATCGCTAGACCCGAGGTCGCAGCTTAGTGGCGGGACACCTGCTTGGCATGTAGAAGGCTCCATCCTGGGGGAGCGTCTTCGGGTAGGCCTGGGATCCCCCCCTTCCAGTGCCTGAAAGCAGGGCTGCTGCCGGCCCGTGTAGGCTGCACTGAGCTACGTAGCTTGCAGAGGTCTGGCTTTAGATAGAAGGCATTTTGCTGTCTTTGTACATTTCGAGCTGCTCAGGGGGAGAGCTGCTTGGAGTGAAGAAGGCTCCGGGTACGATCTCTGGATAGGTAAAGGGCCCTGCCGGGAGCCCGCCCTAGCAAGCCGCTGCTGCCAGTCCGTGCTGGGAACGCTCTGCTAGATAGGCCAGTTTGGTCTGAGACTGGGATAGCTCCGTTGGTAGAATAATAATAATAATAATAATAATAATAATAGTTTTATTATTTGCACCATCTGGCCGGATTCTGCGATGCACCTGAGGTTCTTAAATAGGGGCTGGATGGGACTTCCGGGGTGGCGCCATCGGCAATGGCGGACTCCCTCTGAACTGGAGGGACTAGCTCTGCGTGAAACGGGTCTTTTCCGCTACGGCGAAGCGGGGACCCTTTTAAAAATCACAGGCAGATGAAGCCTGTGACCATGGGACTCGGCGGGCACCCTTAGTGCCCCCCCAACCCGCAAAGGAACCCACTAACGGGCTCCGAAGCGAAGAGGGGGAAGTGGCGCGGTGCTGAGAGTCAACTGCTTCTTCCGTGGAGCGAAGCCGCATAGCCGTTGCCAGAGAGCGCTGCCTTTTTCCTGGGACAATTTGGCTTCTAAAATAAGCACCCGTGAGTACTTAAAATTTGAACAATTGGACTTTAAATAAGGACTTGCGAGCAGAAAGGAATTGGACTTAAAAATTTACTTCAATTTGGTACTGAAACGGGAAGGTCTAAACAGGAAGTCAGCCTTCCGTTTCTTTGTAGATGATGGATGAGAACCTGCCAGGCATTCTTTAGCGGAGACTAAATGACTCATGGGGTCCCAACGTCCAATGCTATGATCTGAAGAAGAAAAACTCGGGTTCACAAGCCCCAGTCCGTTTTGGGGAGAGCGAATCCTGCGCTTATTCGACCCTAGCTTGAAAAAACAAAATGAAATCAGGATTTTCTTGGCTCCCCAAAGGAGAGCAGCTGCGCGTTCAGGGTGAGCCTGAGGGTGAAAGATGCAGGCTCTGCTTCTGAATCCTGGAAACCACAGGAGAGGAGGGTTGCTCTCGAACTCGGGACCCGCTTGCGGGTTTCCCCGCGAGGCGCGTCTGTTTGGCCACAGCGAGAAGACGATGCTGGCCTGGGTGAGCCCTTGGCCTGGCCTTCGGGCTACCGGCACAGCTCAGTCGGGAGAGCACGAGGCTCTCGATCGCAGGGTTGTGGGTTCGAGTCCTGCGCTGGGCAAAATAATCCTGCTTTGCAGGGGGTTGGTCTAGATGACCCTCAGGGTCTCTTCCAACGCTACCATTCTAGGATTCTTATATTCTGCTTGTGGGCTTCCTATGGGGGGCATCGACCTGGCCAGTTCGAGAACAGCATGCATTTTGAAATTATTATTATTATTATTAGCCTATTAAACATTTGTTTCTGGACATTTGGCTCACTGGCATCCTCTTCTGGCTCTGGGAAGGGTCTCCTCGCAAGCCACAAGGATTTCCCCGCTCTCTCCTGCCACTTCTGGGCTGGAATCAAATCATTTATTTATTTTGCGGCACCTGGTCTGCGCGCACAGATGAGGAGTTGCCCGTAATTGCCACGGTTAACTTTTATAATAATAGCACAGTATACCCTTTTCCATTTCCACCTGCTTTTTGTTTTCCCTTCCACATTGTAATCAGTCAACCAATTCCCACCAGACTCACAGAACCAGAGAGTCAGAAGGGGCCCTAGCGGTCATCTAGTCCAACCCGCTGCAATGCAGGGATGTGCCCCCAACCCTGATGGGAGGGGGAATCGAACCTGCAACCTTGTTGTCACCAGCACTACGCTCTAACCAACCAAGCTCGTTCAACTAAACAAGGCATAGGTAAACTCAGCCCTCCAGCTGTTTTGGGACTACAACTCCCATGATCCCTAGCTAACAGGACCGGTGGTCAGGGATGATGGGAATTTTAGTCCCAAAACATTTGGAGGGCTGAGTTTGCCTATGCCTGAACTAAAAAGGTAAAGGAACCCCTAACCATTAGGTCCAGTCGCGAACAACTTTGGGGTTGCGGCGCTCATCTCACTTCATTGGCCGAGGGAGCCGTTTGTTTACAGTTTTTCTGGGTCATGTGGCCAGCATGACTAAGCCGCTTCTGGTGAACCAGAGCAGCGCACGGAAATGCCGTTTACCTTCCCACCAGAGCGGTACCTATTCATCTACTTGCACTGGTGTGCTTTCGAACTGCTAGGTTGGCAGGAGCAGGGACCGAGCAACGGGAGCTCACCCCGTCGCGGGGATTCGAACCTCCGACCTTCCAATCGGCAAGCCCTAGGCTCGGTGGTTTAGACCATCCCATACGCCTGAACTATACTGTTCTTTAAAAAATTAAAACACTAAAGCATGCTGGTCTCGCTGCTCCGATCCTGCGGAGCTCTTCCGGTTGCAAAAAGCACTCTGCACATGCCCAGAGGCACTGCTCAAACTGTTTCTGGGAAGCTAGCGATTGGAGGGGTTTCCGGTTAGCAGCGCAGGGGAGGCGGCCAGGGCTAAAGACGAGGATTGGATTCTGGTGGCAATTCTTATTATTTCAAAGAAGGGATTGCGGTGTTAAGCGGGGAGTGAGGTTCCCTGACCTACGACGCTGGAGAGGAGAGTGGGGAGAGATGCGAGACAGCCGAGGGGAGGGTTGGGGGGGGGCTCGCCCGTGTCCGCTCGCCCGCCCCCCTTTTGCACCCTTACCGTCCTCCATGGGGACGTAGATGTTGAGGTACAGGCAGTCTTCGCTCTGGTTCTGGACGTACCCCGCCACAATCTCCAGGTTTTCAGTGAACCACACCGGGAGCATGATGCCCGGGAGCATGCCGTGGATGTTCTGGGGGCAGACGGGAGCGAAGGCGGTGGCGTTTCGCACCTCGGACCAGGACGCGGGCGCCTCGGGGGGCTGGAAGCGTCTCTCGCCCACGGGCGGCGTGGCGTAGGGGATGCCCAGGTATTGCACCACGGGACCCAGGATTTCGTTGTTGAGGTCCTTCTTGATTCCCCGCAGCTTGCCGTAGTTGGTGGGCACCACCGGGTACTTGTCCTCCGGCTTCTGCCCCGAGAGGGGCAAGGAGCGCAGCGCCAGGCCCAGGAGCCAGAAGAGGACGGCTGAGCCCGTGCGGAGATTTAGCACCCGCAAGACGAGCCTCGAAGGCGGGAGGAACATGGCGGACGTGGCGGTGGGGTGGCGGGCGACGGATTCTGGGAGGGCGGGCCGGGGGAAGGGAGAGAAAGGAGCGTCCTCGCGCGAGGAGCAGGCGAAGAGGAGGGATGAGGAAAGGGGCGCGGGAGGCGAGCCGGGCGTCCGCCGGAGCAGCAGCAGCGGAAGAGGAGATAACCACCAGGAGAGCGGCCCGAGAGGAGAGGATTAGGAAGCCCGGAGGTCTTAGCGAGAATCGCAGGAGGGTTTTCCGGCAGAGGAAAGGCGTCTGTTGCGTTCCATCGTGGCCCGGGAGATCGGGAAGCGTCCAGCCAAACTTGAGAAACACACCTAGAGGTCAAGAGATGGGGTGGGGGAAATCGAAGGGAAGGGTGAATAAGAGGCAGAAGGGGAGAAACGGAAAGGAAACAAGGCAGGATGGGTGGAGAGAAAGAGAGAAAGAAAGGGTTTTTCAGAAAGAAGCCATCCTCCAATCATTCACCCCTCAAATAGTTTTCTTTGCCTAAAATGGACACACCATAGATTTAAAGCATAGTTCACCCCTCAAAAAAAAGGGGGGGGATTCTGGGAACTGTAGTTTTCCTTTGAGGGTGCTGGGAGTTATAGTTCCGGAAGGGGCGAACTACAGTTCCCAGGATTCTTGGAGGGGGGGATGTGCTTTAAATGTGCAGAACACACAGCTCCCATCCCCAAAACACCTTTACCTTCCCCCAAAGTACTGCCCACTCACCTCCAAAATCTTTTTTTTTTTTTTGCTTGGGACCCGATCTGCATATTGACATTATGTAGATTATGCATGATTACGTGACAATGCGTCATGCGCTTCACACTTCCTGCGAAGAGGGAGTTGAGGACAAACAGGGAAAGGGGCGATTGGGGATTTGTGGAGTGTGGGAGAACAGGCGCACCCTGCCTCACCCCAGGCACCTCCGTTCCCTTAAGGGAAAACAAGTCCATTTGGGATGAAACATCTCCTCTGCCTTGTTGCACAACTATTCTATTAACCACACTTCCATTTTTCGCCTTCCGTCGGGAGTGATGGGCCGCGAAACCAAATGCAACATGAGAACGTGAGGATGAGGCTGGCGGCCCATCTAGGCTGGCGTCCTGTTCTCACAGTGGCCAACCACATGCCCATTCTGGGAAACCCACGATCACGATTCGAACACAAGACTCGCTCTCCCGCTCCTGAGGTTCCCCACAACTGGGATTCAGAACTATTTATTGCCTCCAACCACGGAGGGAGAACGCAGTAGGCAACACCAGCCCTCTCCTTCTCCACGAACAGGTCCAATCTTCTTTCGAAGCCATCCCAGTGGGCTCCTGTGGCAGGGAGTTCCACTGTCTAACTACGTGCTGAAGGACTTCCTATTATCCGTCCCAAATAGCCCGACCCTCGGCTTCTCTGAACGTCCGCTGGTTCCAGCGTTACAAGGGAGGAGAACCAACAGATTCAAGGGATCCGACCAGGAAGAAGTTTTTGACGGCAGGAGCTGTTCGACAGTGGAACAGACTGCCACAAGAATTGATGGACTCTTCTTCCTTGGAGATTTATAAGCAAAGGTCGGACGGCCATCTGTCAGGGATGCTGAGATTCCTGCGTAGGGGGAACCTTCTGATTCAAAGACGCGTAGAATCGTAGGGACCCCACGAGTCATCTAGTCCAGCCCCTGGCAATGAAGGAATCTCAGCTAAAATCTCCAGGACACATGGCCATCCAACCTCTGTTTAAAAACCTTCAAGGAAGGACAGACCACTTTGGCCACAGGTAATCCTCATGGGTGGACGCAGGTGGCGCTGTGAGTTAAACCACAGAGCCTAGGGCTTGCCGATCAGAAGGTCGGCGGTTCAAATCCCCGCGACGAGGTGAGCTCCCGTTGCTCGGTCCCTGCTCCTGCCAACCTAGCAGTTCCAAAGCACGTCAAAGTGCAAGTAGATAAATAGGTACCGCTCCGGCGGGAAGGTAAACGGCGTTTCCGTGCGCTGCTCTGGTTCGCCAGAAGTGGCTTAGTCCTGCTGGCCACATGACCCGGAAGCTGGACGCCGGCTCCCTCGGCCAGTAAAGCGAGATGAGCGCCGCAACCCCAGAGTCGGTCACGACTGGACCTAATGGTCAGGGGTCACTTTACCTTTACCTTTTTAATCCTCATGGACTTTCATGGACATGCCCTCCTTCAATTCTGATTTGTTCCCAAACCAGGTGTGCTTTTGCGTTACCACACGCAGGTAAGCAGCCATTCTGGGTCGGGGGCGCAAACACACCGTCCCTTGAACATCAACCCTGAGCAGATCGGAGCGCGGATCATTTCCCACGCCGAAACCAATCCCCGCGGGATTCTGCGCTGCGCTGGGAGAAACGGCGTCCTCTCCCCCGCCTCCCCTTTTCCAACCGTACCAATTCTCCCCGGTGGATTCTACCAGGTCTTTAATTAAATAAAACTGGAGTTTTTTGTTTATCATTCACAATGTGGCAATTAGAGGCAGGAACGTGTAATTAGTACCAAATTGCGTCTGGGAGAATCCAAAAGGCCCAGAGAGAAGGGGGGGGCGGTGCTGGGAGCGCATGCCAGAACCCGACGCCATCAGAACTGCCGACGGACAGACAGACGGACGGACGCTTCGACGCAGGGGAAGTCGAGGCAGCTGCTGTGGCGCAGATGCTGTTGCAGGAATTTATGTATAGGTTGGGGGGGGTTGCCCCTCTAGCAGATATCATGCACATGCAGCCCACTACCAAAACCAACACAATCGCTTTTGTGACTTTTGTGATTTGTCCCTACAAAACACTTCATCACAGTTTCTTTCTATCTATTCAAAGGGCCTCTGCTGCACGACACCAAATGTAAGAATTCACTGATCAATGTATCTCTGTACTGGCTCACTGGGAAACTTCAGAAACTCATAAAGACATGTGAGCTCAGCTCCTCAGCAGCCCCTCTGCCTGAGTGATAATCCCTGGCATCCTGATACCTGAGTGCCAGACAGGTAGCCATTCCAGAAAGAACCAACCCAGATGAAGACAAAAGGATGTGATGAACTTGGCTGGGTAACAGGGAAATGTAAATATCTCTTTTGTTACACTTGATGGATGTTTGGTGGAGGGCAAGGGGATCCATGGGGCAGGGTCCAGGATGCTCAGATTACGGCCACCAGACCTCCCCTTTCATGATGTAACCGTGATGTAGTTTTGCGGGGGTGTAACATGGGGATTAGCAGCTAATAAAAGTTTGGGTTCTCTTTTGTTCAGGGCATCCATCTTGTTGCACCTGGTGGCAGGTGGGAGTCCTGTGGCGAGTCTTCAATCAAGACCAAGCCTACTGGCTGCTGTTTTGCTCTGGTATTCCGGGCTGGGGTCCTTGTTTTATGTCCAAGGGAGCCCTCAGATTTCTCCGTTAACAGTTCCCAGCAGGCTGGGACTACAACTCCCATGACCCTCTGGGAGGCTGATGAGAGCATCGCGGGTGTGCGGCACAAGGCGATGTTGAGAATTGCGTTCCTGCGTATCTGGAGGGTGCCGCCTTGCAGTGCCTCAACGGAGGGGTCAGGGTGTCCAGAGGGAGGAATGGGTGGGCTCCTGGCGGAGGCTTGTTGTAGATGGGACCAGGGCAGAGGGCCACTACCAGATTTATGTATAAGCTAAACAAGCTATAGCTTAGGGCCCCACTCTCTTGGGGGGCCCCAAAAAATGTAAAGGGGAAAAAAACCTGGATGTACATTTCCAAAATATAAGATAAAAAACAAATAAAATAAAACCTACAGACAGCAACGGACGCGGGTGGCGCTGTGGGTTAAACCACAGAGCCTAGGACTTGCTGATCAGAAGGTCGGCGGTTCGAATCCCCGCGACGAGGTGAGCTCCCGTTGCTCGGTCCCTGCTCCTGCCAACCTAGCAGTTCAAAAGCACATCAAAGTGCAAGTAGATAAATAGGCACTACTCCGGCGGGAAGGTAAACAGCGTTTCCGTGCGCTGCTCTGGTTTGCCAGAAGCGGCTTAGTCCTGCTGGCCTCATGACCCGGAAGCTGGACGCCGGCTCCCTCGGCCAGTAAAGTGAGATGAGCGCCGCAATCCCAGAGTCGGCCACGACTGGACCTAATGGTCAGGGGTCCCCTTTACCCTTTTCACAGACAGCAACAGTGTTTTGTGTTGTGTAGGCTCCTAGGATGTAAGTCGTGGGTCCCGCCTGCTCCCTAAAATATCCTGGGTTTGCTCCTTTCTATATATAGGGTGCCTACATTCTGCATGGACTGGTTGCAGGGCAACATGGGCGAATGGCTTGAGATACCTATTAGGTCCATAAATGACCATACAGTGGACGCTCGGGTTATGAACGTGATCCGTGCGGGATGCACATTCACAACCCGCAGTGTCCGCAACCCGCGCCTGCGCACGTGCGGGTTGCGATTCGACGCTTCTGCGCATGTGCAAAGCACGGTTTAGCGCTTCTGCGCATGCGCGGCTGCCGAAACCCGGAAGTAACCCGTTCCGGTACTTCCAGGTTTCGGCGGTCCACGACCTGATAAACAACCTGAAGTGGCTGTAACCTCAGGTATGACTGTATAGCATATATTCAACACTAAAAAACCAGCGACAATTTGCTGTTGACAAAAGACAGCTGGACATTTAAAGGGCCCCGTTACCTTCAGTAGCTGAGGGCCTCATCAAACCTAAATCCGGCCCTGGGCAGGTCGAATGGGTGGCGATTCCAATTTTGAGAGACAAAGAGAATTCCACGATCTTTCTATCCAAAGGGGCGAATGTCAAAGAGTGAGTTGGCAGTGTGATGCAGCAGCAAAAACAGCTAACGCTATTCCAGGCTGCATCAGTCTCAATCGAAGGAATAATAATAATAATTTATTATTTGTACCCCGCCCATCTGGCTGGGCTTCCCCAGCCACTCTGGGCGGCTTCCACAAAGACCAAAAATAAACTAAGATATCACACATTAAAAACTTCCCTAAACAGGGCTGGCCTGTTCTGCCTTGGCCAGACCACAACTGGAGTCCTG